CACACACACACACACACACACACACACACACACACACACACACACACACACACACACACACAACAGAACCGTAGCTGATGTTTCGGCAGAATCGCCTTTCTTGTTTTTGCTTTTAGATTTTTTTTTATTGGTTTCCGATGGTCGAGAATTCAATATTATAGCCCTGAGTCTGCTCTTATATCCCTTCACGACCACTTCAACATGCGCCGTGATCGACACCTCGTTGAGAGTAGGGCTGAAGAAACTGAAGGTGGCGACGAATGTTGATGAGATGAGAAGATTCATCGGTGTTTGCCTCAAGATGGCGATTGTTAGGTCATCATATCTAAGGGATTGCTGAAGTACGAGCACTGCTTTTGCATGCACACCCGTTGCACCCTACGTGATGACGAGGAGGAGTTAGAGGCCAGATATGCATTTATTCAGTCAACCCCAGCGATGCGTAATGAAGTGGGGCGCATGGTGCATTCCTCAGGGATTGATAAAAGCAGCTTTATGTTTTTTATCCTCTCTATATATACGCGTATCTGTATAAGTGTTGTATATATGAATGTTCTAAATTGTAAATTGTATGTTTTAAAATAAATGTGAAATAAAAACGTGGAAAGGCTTGGTAACTGTTTCGTGAGACACTGTATTGTGTAATATCCATGGACGCATTTGAATGTTGAGGTACTCTGAGGAAGTGAAGAGGTATAACCTCGCTTCGAGTCACGCTACCATCAGATTGTTAGGTATAGGAGGGACATGTCTGTACGTTCTTCAATACCTACATATTTAATGGGTTCTCTTCGCGCGAAGTAATCTTTCGCCGCATGACTAGCTCGTCACAGAATATCTGTGTAATTTATTAGACGTGGAACGTAGGTTCCGTTGGGTCATTCCTGACAGCAACATCTGTATTGGATAAAAGCTGTCCATTGTTGAATACAAAAATATCGCAAAACAACTCTATGTTACAATCACCACGATACTGAGATGTGAGGAAAACTCGGAACCTAAGCTGGACTTCGAACCAGTGATTACCCTTGCCGGGACCTCAGTGTTATACACGATTCCCAAACGAGACCATTGTTTTACCTTTCTCTCAGGCACTCTTTTCTGTCCTAACGTTGTTCTTAGCAATCACCTGTGAGTGGGAATAGTCTGGAGAAAGCAACTGGGCATTGAAACTGGTTAAACCGAAGCTTCAGCTGAAATCGCAAGGTTTCACCTTTTGTTTATAGCCTGTTATTTTCCGTTGTAGTATATTATGTGAAGTGCAACCACAGTGTTACTTAGGTATAAGCAAAGCTCTTTCTTTTCCATGCTACATAATAGGGGTTCTAAAAATCATTGAGTCACGTGTGATTCGTACGGCCCATTGTGTCTTGAAAAAATATGCTTGAAAAAAATTTGGATGGTGTCGCCATCATTTTTAAAACTTTTCATAAGTATTCCCAAATTGTATTCCTTTCAGTTTCATTATCACAAATCGCAATTATAAATGCAAGTTAATCTTCGATGCGGTCTTGAGAAAGCACAAGGATTTCTTCGGCGATCCAAGTATGTTTTGGTATGACGGCCAGAGCACATTATTCGCGAGAAAGGATCTGTTTAAAGACATCAACAAGGTACATTTCCGTTTAAATTTTCCGGTATAAAAACTTAGGCTATGTTTCACGAAGAGACCATAAAGATTTCAAGTCTTTATGTATTTATTAGTCCATGTTTTCTTGATAAGCAGAGACGATGTGGTTAATGCAGTGTTTATTTTAGAGTGGTTGTTTGGGCGGATGTCACCTTTATAGCGCGGAAAGGGTCGCATTAACACATAACACACCCATCGAAGTACTTTCTTCACTTTAAAGGAAAAGAAAGACCTCAAATTTTTATATTTCATCTTTGACAGTTCTTGAGAAATTCTAGATGATTTCTAAAAACCTGATGTTGAACAACAGAGAGTTCCTTGTTCTCCCCGACCTTACTCCGTATCTAGGAGTGTTTTTTGTGATCTGAGACAGGCACACTCCCTACTCATACACTGACTGGTTTCCCTCGCTAACTAGATATCATATAGAAAAGGTGGCTCTTTCCAAAAAGCTGTGTATTTTGCGATCGTACTTTTGGTGGGTTTTTTCCCGTTAGAGTAATGGAAATGCCTACTGGATGGACTGCTTATCACTGTGACTCTTCAAGGATCTAAGGTGAACGGATTTCATCGAAACGTTAGATATTGCACAAAAATATTCTGTTAACAATCTCATCTGTTTCTCACGAAAACATGAGTGGTAATTTCGTCTACATTTGTGGCACGACAGGTCATAAGATTCATTCGACCTGCCTACTTATTTGCTTCTTACTTGAACTTATCTTTCTCTGTTGGTCTGTTTTTGGGAGTTAAATGGGTTCGTTCCCCACCGCAAACACCTGTGGTCCGGAGTTTTGTAAATGTCTCGGCATTATATAGGTTATATTTTGCAACATACTCTGCCATTAAAAAAATAGGCAGTAAATAAAAAGGTTGAGATTATATAGGTTCATCAACTAATCATTGCAACGTCAACATCAGTACTGGATGTACCATTTGGTACAGTTCGATATCTTGCTTAGGAAGCCAAATTATTAGTTGAGCAATAACAGGAATCACTGTTGTCCAAATATACAACTTGCTGGCGAGGTGTTAGAACTGTTTCAAATTTTAAGATCATCTTCTTGAAGCACAGTTGACATCCGGAGAAATCTATAACGCTGAGTGGGCATCCTCAACGCTGTTGAAAGCTCGCCAAGTACGCTTCCGCTTACTGAATTCTGAGGCGAAGTCGTTCACCATGTTGACACCCTGACCTTGAGACACGAAACTGGAGCATTCGGAGATGTTCCGTCTGGGTAGTGATTGGTGTTATAAGAACGGTGTTTTCAGCTAAGAGAAGATAGTGTAATCGCCGATTCACTCCTACGTTGCCGCATACCAATCTTTGCACGACATTTTTTAGCGTGGCGGCAAGTAATTTTGGGTTTATAGTATATTCTTGCATCGTTCCTCTTTTCCCGTTGATGTTATAGAGTTTTGTATAATTCACGAATTTTTTTAAATTTATGGTAAGGATGCCCTGGCCAAATACGTCGGCAAGCTATAAGTCATGCTCAGTGCTGCTCACTAAACATAGAGTACCGTCGTCAACGACGTAGGGTAATAAGACAACGGACGATACAAATGTTAGGTTCCATACGTCGTTGTAAGTAAATGAACAGTATAGAACTTTCAGCGTTGATCAAGCTAGCTTTGCTTTTTCGAAGTAAGCATGGTGACTGCTCGTTCAAGACATTTGAGGAATACTTTTCGAGCCCTTGCAGTTCCACTATCAAGAGATCCAGCTTGAAAAAACATTGCATTAGTTTTATGAAGGTCTTCATCTTTACTATATTTGGCACATGGCTCGTGTAACGCAGTGGTCGAAAGCGCCCTGCAATAGACATGGGTTCGATTTTCGCCCCCGTGGTACGTCCTCTTTCCTTCCGAGGCCAGTTTAAAGTGGTACTAGATTTGTCTGATAGAGTTGAAGCAGTGGCTGAATACATCGGTAGACCACGTCGAGTCATTTTAAAGGTCAGATATGCATTCAGTCACTTCCAAATTGTGCTTAATGAAGTCGAATGCATGGCCTATTCCTCAGGGATTAATCAGCACCGAGAGCTTTATACCTTTATTCTTTTTATTCGGCATGACCACAGGAAGCTTGAAAGCATTTGCCATAAAGTAGGTTTACTCTTAGTAGTGCTTCTAGGTGGAGATGTTGAACTCATGTTAAGCTCTCTGTAGAATCAGTGTCTGCGTTACAACATCCTGAAACACCACTTTGCCATGAGATAGGTATTGTTAACTATGCCACTTTTCAGACTTCAAAGAAGTTCGAAATATTTGGCAAGGATTGTCATGAAGGTGCACTTTCGATATTTGAGTCGGTTTACTTTGATATTGCCCCGGTTGAGGAAAATTATTGCGTGAGCTCATTGATTTATTGATTTCTTTGAGATTATTAGTAATAGCAGTCATGATAAAACCATGTAGTGTGATGATTTTAATACACCCATAATTTGAAATGGATTCTACGTACGTAGATCTTCTCCTGACTCCGTAGGTTGCTGCAGTGGGTGGTTATGTGAAGTCTGTTTATCGATTTTTGGTTATATTTCACAAAATTAGACTTCCTCGATTTAGTCGGGGTTCTAAAAAGGTGTTTCCCAGGAAAAAAAAACTTGTAATATCTCTCTACTTTTCCTTATTTCAGATATGCTTAACGAACAAAGAAATAATGAACTATGCATGCCGGCTAGATCTGTCCGAATTCGACCGCTCTCCAACTCAATTCATGGAGATCGTCTTCAATCAGCTAGCTATAATGAACCCGTTAGCTGACTTTTATTTGCTTTCGCTATTGGCGACTTTTCATCAGGACTTTTTTATTGTAGCAAGGAACATGTCATATTCGAAAATGGAAAGACGTTTCTTTGTCATCCATGGTTGTACGGCTTCAATGAGAAAGACTGTCCTGATGTTGGTGATGGGAAAAGGCTATTTCCTGGGACACAAAAGAGCGTCCACTTCATCGAGGGTCAAAGAGGGCGCGGTTTCGCCAGCGCGGCTCTTGTTATCGATGGTATTGTCCTTCGAACCACATTATTTTAAAAAAAAGCAGTCTGAGAAAAAGAAATTTTAAGGAAAGATATCTTATGCGCCAATCTTTTTAAACAATATGTCACGAACCCTATGAACTACGTCTTTCTCACTGACAAGGATTCTTACCTCCACATATTTGCAACAGTTTCGTTTCTTAACACCGTTTTATTTATGCCAGCATATGCTCTCCAGATCAATCCCGTTGACGGATGCATGCTGATAGCACCTATAAGTCAACAACACGACTGAGAGACAGGCGAAATGAACGACCCGCATGGTGTGGTGGTGAACGCGTTAGCCCCGGAAACGGTAATAGCGCGTTCGTTCCCCACCACAAACACCAGCGGTCGGGAGTTTTGCAAATATCTCAGCATTATTGTGGTTATGTTTCACACAGTACTCTACTGTTAAAAAGGAATAGGCAATAAATAAAAAGTATTGTGCTGTTCGATTTATTATATGTATATGTCAAAGTTATTTATCTAGATACGTAAGATCTGTTATTTTGCTGTTTTCAGCAAAAAAAGCTGCATTTCACGAGGATTTAAGGCTTATTGATAAAGCAAAGATCATCCTGAACGACAGTTTGTCAAGGAGAGTGTCGGAAGTAGCTTTAGAAAGGCTGAATTTTGGAATGAAAGGTATTCTGCTGTTTGTTGGATCATTTGTATCAGTTTCTTGAAACAATTGATTTTTTCCGTGTTGCGATTCGTAAAGGTGTCTGTTTCGCTTCATTAGCTTTCAGTACTTTAGGACTATTTTTCTACACTCGACACACAGGCCATGAGAGAGATCATCAAATTGCGGGCATTGTGAACCACACAGCTGTAGATGCCGTGTAAGGTTTTGTTTTGTGTGTTTTTCAGCCACTTTTCTTCAGAAACCTTTTATCCATATATTGTTTGTTTATGGATTAATTTTACTACTCGGTGGCTTAACCAGTACTAAGCGAGACTATCGGTGATGTGCTATGGAGACTTGCTTCTTCTTTACACGTAAAGCACCAGAGCAGTTCTCTGTAGTGAAGAGATCTACGCGAACGTCGAATTTTGTGTCATCCTCTAAGGAAAAAAAGTGCAAGAAGATGACATATGCTAACTTTGAATTCTTTTTATCATCCATATTGAGAATGTACTTTCGCTAAAACGTAGAGGTTGTAATATCTGTCTTAGCTGCGACTGTTTCGCCCGTTGTTTGTTACCCATAACGTTACTCTGCTTGGCTATCCTTTGTGTAAAACCTTTCCGAAAACCATCGGTATTGTGAAGTTGGAGGAGACGGTAAACAGTAATGTCTTGTTGTACAGAGATGTTCAACGCTATATTGAGGAAAACCATTGGAGATGGATGCTTGAATAGGAAATCCAGAATGGAACTGCTTTTTCTGCTCATGTTTACCGCATGAATCGCCATTTGACGTAAAATCATCGAAAGGCCATTATGGGGAGATCAGTTGAATCCTCGGAAACGAAAGACGAGGCCTCTTTACTATATTGGGTAATCTATATTGGAAGAGTAACACAGATGAACTGATAATCCAAACGTATTGGGAGCGATGGTTGGAATTTTCGATGTGGTTCAGACGTTAGTATGGTTGGACAAAAGAGTACTGGAAAAGTGCTAATGTAAACCACTGAGTACAAAAATTATGGTGCATCAGTTAGTTCGTTGATTTAGATGACTGGGACTAATAATTTTCGCCATGTCCTATATAAAGGTGCTCGAAGGTATTCTCCATTTTCAATGAACATTTTAGATAACCATGAATTCGGTTCGATCCACGACTGCTTTTCTATCCATCTCGAACTGGTCTCGATCGTGGCCTCCACTTATTGTTAGAGCGATGCTACCAAACCTTATATATATCTAGTTGCATAGATCTCAGAAGTGCTCAATTTGTTGGTTTCAGTTCAGAAAAAGTCGGCTGTGATGTTATCTGGTCTTGGAGTTTCTTTTCATGTTGTTGATTTCAGTGCAAACTTCAGAGTTAGTATTTTGACATGATCGGTCTCCGGTGAGTAATGTGTGCACTATTTGATGAAGCGATAATTATACCGTTTTGTTGATGAGCAAACGTGAGGTTGTTATTATAATTCCTGTCCATTCACAATAGCTGAAATTCCTGGCGATTTCCACTTCCTGACAGTCTGGGTCTGGAAACTTTGTCCTGGAGAGTTAAATTGGCAAGCAATCAACTCGGTCAAACATTTTCATAACCTGAGCAGATAAAAATTTTCATTCGCTTGTAAGTAGTTTCTCTTACTCACTAACCTTCTTTTTGTTCATAAGCTCTCCATTTATTGTTGGAGATTGGCGGCATTTAGGTGGCTTATGTCAGTCTACTTGCTCATAATGTGATCTGAGACCTTGTGGCGAGCGATAGGGTGTGTTTTAGAAGATTTCAGACTACATGCATATATACAGGAAGCATTCTCCAGTGTTTGTTGGAATGTGTTGTTTTAATTAGCTTGAAATGTCATGCAGTGCAACCACAGGTTGTGTTACAGCGTCGAAGGGTAAGCATCATACGCGTGGTAGTGAGATTGTTGTGTTGTTGATGATTGGGCAATTTTCAATCTTACTGCCGTGGTAACCATTCTGAGGGATTAACTTTTTACTGATCTACACCACATCTCGTCCGCCCTTCTGAATCGATTACGGGTGTTATACCATGTGAATGGCTTGCTTCTAAGGCTTCCAATGCGTACGTTGTTCTGCGTTTAGTTAATTCCCAAGTTTGCAGTTGGTACCGTGAGGAAAGTCTTGAGAAACCTCTTCCATGAGCTGAACTTCTAGTTCAGCTTCCAAGTAAGCACTCAAGAATAGACGGTGGCATCGCATTATTTAACAAATGGCAGCTGCACATCACGCGAAAGCTGAAGGGACCATTTTTTACACTTGTCGTTTTTATTTCAGGTGTTCCTATCGATCCTATTTCCTTTACAGATTTGAGATGCAAGATGGCGTGAAGGTTTCTGTTCTTCAGTATTTCAAGGAGAAATACAAGATCTGTTTAGAGTAAGGAGCAAGATTATCTCTTTGTGAACTACTTTATTGTTAAAATTTGTCCAAGCATCTGTTGCTTAGGTACCCACATGCACCTCTTGTTAAAGTTCGTGAAGGTAGTCGTGTTAATAACTATCCAATGGAATTGGGTTTTATCAGAGCAATGCAGAGGGTTACCATCTCACAGCAGACACCGGCTCAAACCCATAAAACAACTAAAGTCGGTGTTCCAGTCTTTTGTTTCCAATATGAACCTTCTTGGAAATATGAATACTAGTTTAGAGTTGCGCGATACCACCGGGAGAACGTCAGGACAACATTAAAAAGGGAGCGCATGCTTTGAAGCTGTTCGGGTCTGACGGGAACCCATTTGTCACAAGTGCAGGATTGTACATCTCTAAAGATCCTCTAAGGGTAGATGTTAGCATTGTTTCATGCAGATTTTGTACCACAAATACATAGAATTTAGATAATAGGAAGGTGTCTACCTCCACCTAATATCAGGTATTCAGAAAATACGGCAGTTGTACACAATGGAAAGTGGAGGTGCTTTTGTTGAATAGTAAAAGTATTTTTTGTGTGTAATGAATCTGTGCTTAAGAAGCGCACAAGAGCATTTCTTCATACCGGCACGTTGTGAGATATGGGCGATCTACGGAATTGTACTTCCCAACGAAAGTGGTCGTTACAGTGAACAGCTGCTCAGGTAAGTTTATTACTCATGCATTTCCGTGCCTCTCTAACTTCATAATTATAGGGATTTCGGAAGAATTTTCTTCGAAGAAGCTTCTCGTCGTGGGATGAAGCTAACACAACCGACTGATATAGCAGTGAGTTCATTCTTCATTTCACAGGAAATATTTATGGAGATGACGGAAAAATTCTCGACGTCAAGAAGTGGCGCAATCCTGTGACTCTGAGACTTAAGCCTTCTAGGAAACGTAGTCTATTATTTTCTTCAAGCACTTTCAGGTGACGTCAGCCGAAGGAGATCTGGAAAATTGCTTAAAAAATGCTGCTCTTCACCATTGTAGATATTGTCTGATTGTTTCTGCAGACAGTATTGCAGTGCACAGTTTGTTTTTTTGTTATTTTTTTAATTAGTTGTTCTATAGACGTTCAGTTTTCTGTTACGGATGTAGTTTATCTGTTTTAGAAAAGATGAAACTATGGGAAAGAGAGCTTGAAATGGTTACGCAAGATGTGAAGCTGTCGACTGTTATTAAAGTAATATTGAGAGTTTCTCATTATTATATAGAAATGAAGTGTCTGTTACTTTTAGGTGGTAAAAGAAAGACGTAAGGTTACCGTGGAGAATATCATTCTGAAAACGAATATGAAACTTGGAGGTTTGAACTACGTGTTTGACTTCAACGGTGTGGCCTCGAGGGAAGATGTACAGTAAGTCGTCAATGTTGATAAATGAGGACTTCCTTAAAGTTTTTCTGTTGAGGATGTGTTATAACAATGTCTGGTGTCGCTTTCGTATTCTTGCTGATGTGACTTTTGCTTTATGGATGAAAAATTGATAGGAGGTATTTTTATTTCCAGAAGATGGCTTCGCGCAGGTCGCGTTTTTCTTGGAATTGCTGTTGTTCATTCATCCAGTTCGGGTGGTCAGGACAATCCTACGGTTGTTGGTGTGCGTATAATGTAGAGATTTCACGTCGTGCTCTGATGTCTTTTGGATTTTTAAACATTTTCAGTATGCTTCAAATTTTAAAGAAAACGTAGTCGACTTCGTTGGAGACTACCTTTTCCAGAGCAGTGGGAGGGAAGAGGTGCCCTTAGTTGGTTTAAATCTTATTGGATTTTTGTAGGTTTAAATGTTGCAGACTCTATCTACGATGTCAACGATTATTACCAATGTCGTGCATAAGTTTGCTGATCACCACGGTGGACGATTTCCAGGGGATCTCATAATATACAGGAGCGGTATCTCGGACGGATCTTTCAAAACCGTTGGTGTTGAATATTAACTAGAAGCCTGTTTTCGAGGTCTACATGGTAAATTTAGGTGCTCACTCACGAAATTCCACTTCTACGGGGTACTCTGTCAGCACTTGGTGTCAAAAATATCAAGTTGACTTTTGTAGTGGTTCAAAAGAAGCATAATATTAGACTTATGAATACGCACGTAAGTGGCTTTTCGATTTTCAGGCCTCGGTTTTCGACAGTGTGTACAGTCATGCTGCGATTATGTTTCGTTCCTAGTTTATACACGACTATAAAAAGCATGTTATTGTGATGGCAGCACGCCTGTGGCGCAGTGATGGTAAGCGCCAGGCAATATACATGGGATAGATTCCCATGCGGCTGGCTCACGAAGCCCTCTATCCATCTGGGGTCGGAAAATTGGTACCGTACTTGTCTGGGAGGACGGCAGCACTGGCTCGATGCATCGCTAGGCCACCGCGAGTCATTGTAAAGGCCAGACATGGATTCAGTTACCTCTAAAGATGCTTAGTGAAGTCGAATCCATGGCGCATCCCTTAGGGATTGATCAACGTCGAGAGCTTTATCCTTTTGTTTTTTTGCATACGTTATATTAAATCAAAGTGTTATAAACTGTGATGGTGTTGTCTTTGGACCTTCTCTGTTTACGTTTGTCCTATTTCAGATAGATCGATCGCGCAAGATAGCCGATCAGAATATTCCTCCCGGGGTAGTTGTAGACTCAAACGTAACACATCCTGCTTTTAAAGAGTTCTATTTAAATTCACATATTACATTACAAGTATGTGAACGTTTGAATCCTTTTAAACCAATAAATGCTCATATAAGCTCAATCCTTAAGGGGTCTGCTATCACTCCGCGATATACGGTACTTGTTGATGATCTCAATTTTTCTATGGATGAACTCGAAGGCATCACATATGTGCTGACATATGCCCACCAAATCGTGAATCTCTCAACTTCGATTCCAACACCACTCTATGTGGCTCACAGCTATGCTGAGCGTGGACGGAACAATCATGAAGCCTACTTGTGAGCAGTTTTTGTTAGACCTGCGAGATATCGCTATTTTTTTGGGACATCATTTTATCTTTTGTAGGGTTTCTTCCGCGTCAACGTCATCCGAGTCCGGAGAATCGATTGACTACGGACGTATTGCGCAGCGTTTGTCGTACAGAAACACAAAACTGGAGGACATTCGTATAAATGCCTAAGTTAGAAGTTTTCCCTGAAACTTTTTCTCTAACACCATTGCTACTTAAATTGTATATTTTATTTCACTGATATTTTATAATAATACTATTTATATTCACTCCTAATATCCTAATATTTTTCACTGAAGGTGTTGTAATAACTTCTAGTTGTACAGTATAGTCGACCTCGTTAATGTCTCTTGTTATTTTGTTGTTTTCTCTTTGTTGTTAATAATTGTTTATTCGGACGGAGCTGAAAGTGTTGAAGGAAGATACACATTAGTTACTCTTTTTGTGTAAATAAAGAGACCCGAGGAATGTGTTTTTTTTATCCGTTATTTTTGATCTTTTCCATGTGTTCCGACTTGGTTGTACTACTTCGGGAAAAGTTTCGCCATCTTCAACAAGGCTATTGTTGGTTTGCAAGTCGTCAGCCATGTGCGATGCTGAGTGGCTGTTCTTCCTCGGTGGAAGACAGGTGAATAAGAGCGGCTCTGAAGAAGGCGGTTCTGCCAAGACGTGAACTACGTTTATGTTTTATGTATGTTTGTTATTGTATGCTAGTAAACGTATGCTGTTTAACAACCTCGCGATTGCTGAGAAAGAAAACGATAGGCTGTAGGTTTGGTTAAGGTGATTATTAGATCGGAAAGATTTTGAACCACGTATGATTTCAATATATTCGATAGTGGAATATCAATTAGCTATGTCATATATAACTATTGGCCAGAGAACGGTGGTCTGCACACATTTCTGGTTCTACGGAACGATACTGTAGTCCTATAGATGGGATATTGCGTTTCCTTGATCTCCTTATGGTCAGCGTACTATGCACGTTAGCAGTAGATTGCTGGTTTGAATCCTGACATGGTTGCAACTTCAGAACTTATAAGAATGTGTAGAATGATCTATTGCTTCATGTCCATTAGGAAGAGTAGCAAGCAACCACCCAATGGTTTACCCCCTTAGTGGATGATAGGTGTTCCTGGGTGTTGGGCTGCGATGTACAGCGATGGGATTTATCCCTCCCGTAGGGCCTCCAAAGCTGAGATGGAGTCCGGCGTACCCATCAGGAAGCCTAGTTATGAGCAAACCAGTACCAGGATCCATCACCATTCTGGTATCAAACCGGTCGTGTGGAGGTAAATCTCCGTTTGATCCATAAGGTCCGCGTCGGCCTGTGGCGGTGATGACCTAGGGTAGACTTTGGCCACGCTGACCTCGGGGCACCAGAGAACCACAGTCGTTAAACAAGCAAGACACCGAAAAAATGGAAATCTTGCTGGGGTCCGCATAACCAGTGAGGACGGCCGATCTAATTGCCCAAGTAAGGATAAGACAATGATGTTGGAGCGAATTTATATTCACAGTGAGATACAACGCTGTTCTTGTTGCAGAACTACTTCGTCTTAATGTTTTACTTTTTATTTTCTGCCTACAACAATTTTTACGGCATGGGATTGTGCGAAATACAACCACAACGATGCTGTCAGCTAATTCTATGGATCAACTGAGAGACGGGGGAAACGATGGACCCGCATGGTGTGGTGGTGAACGCCTTAGCCCCCGGTAAGGGTAATAGTGCGTTTGTTCTCACCGCAGACATCTGCGGTCCGGAGTTTTTGCAAATATCTCAGTATAATGGTGGTTATAAGACGAACCGCAGACGAGGTACAACCATAACAATGCTGAGATGTATTTATTTATACAACCTTACAAAGTGATCTTTTTGAGCTAATGCGAAGTTGGTATAGGTCTTCGTTGTCGTTGTTGTTGTTGCTGCTGTTGTCGTCGTTGCTATTGGTGTCTTTAGTCCATGGCTGACCTTTCGGTGATTTCGCCTTCTTCATAGCCGTGGTGTTACAAGTGGGACCACTTTTATTATTATATTATTATGGGATTACGAGTCCCACTATCACGGCTCTGAGGAAGGCGAAATCACCGAAACGTTAGCCACCCACCAACATCAACAACAACGACAGCAGCAACGACAACAACAACAGCGACGAGAACGATAACGACATCGACAACGAAGACCTGTACCAACCCCGCATCAGCTCAAAAAGATCAGTTTGTAGGGCCGTATAAATAAATATATCTCAGTATCGTTATGGTTGTACTTCATCTGAAATCAGTCTTATAACCACAATTATGCTGAGATATTTGCAAAACCTCTGGACCTCAGATGTCTGCAGTGGGGAACGAACGCGTTATTACCTTTTTCGGGGGATAACGCGTTCACCACCACACCATGCGAGTCCTTCGTTTCGCCTCTCTCAGGTAAAGAATATCCTGCCGTGAAAAATTGTAATAGTTACTGAATAAAAGAGATGTTAACATTGGTACTTCGTCTTAATTCTTATTACCAGTAATGGTAACAGGACTATTACTACATTCCCATGAAATGAATCATTTGCAGTAATGGTAGGGTCGAAAGTTGCATTTTCAACATTGGGAGCAGCCATGAATATTCTGTTCTCAATGATCGATTTATCGCGAGTGTCATTTAAGACCTGCAAGGTTACATAAAAGCGTCTTAATGTATCGGGAATTCGTAAGGTTGGCAAGAAGCACGTTCAGACTGGATAAATGTAGGTGTACTACACCATACAATATACATTACGTACAAATGCAATAATGGGAACGAGGGCGTCATGGTTATTCTTGAGATATGGTTGGCCAACAAGGCCTACTACTGCGAAAACTGAATTTCAAAGAAGTTTTCAGCTATTCTGAAGACAACCACTACCGACTGGTGTGCGGAGCACATCGAGAACTATGTTGATAACTCAAAAGGCCGACTTCCTACAAACCTGAGCATAGATGCTTGATATATTTACTTATATGATCTTATAAACTGGTCTTCTTTAGCTGATGCGGAGTCGGTAATCCCCGTTACCGTTGTCGTTGTTGTTGTTGTTGTTGTTGTTCTTGTTGGTCGATGGCTGACGCTTCGGCGATTTCGCCGTCCTCAGAGCATGGACGTATTTTACACAAGAATGTTTTGATTATTCGATGGAAAAAAGCTAAAGTATCGATGAAGATCAAACTTTTAAATAGACGCCATATTGAACAGGAAGGCCGCTATGGTGCTAAACGTTGTCCCATGGCCAACCCATCTAATTTATGCAAAATATTTTCGAGACCACCTAAAGATTGAACAACTAAGACACTGTTTTAAGAGAGCCGTCAAAAATCCACAGATGAAATGGAAAGACGAATGCCTCACTATCACACGTGACCTGGCGCCTTATTTCAAAATGATATTTTGACACCCTGTTGTGTCTCGCTCGCGACCCCACATGAACAACGCGTAGCGCAGTCCCTCTCGTAGCATCACAGTGAGTAGCCTTTTTGATCAATATGGTGTCCTGTAATAGTTCCCAGGATCGACTTTCTACTAACCTCGGCATTGGAATACGAATGTGTCGTTTTCTTGTTCAGAAATCGCGAGGCTTTTAAACATCATACATTTACCTCCATATAGAAACACAATACAATACAACACTAGCTGACGTTTCGGCAGTATCGCCTTCTTCAGAGCTGCTTTTTACGTGACTTCCAATGAGGAAGTTTAGAGCAGCTGATTATAGTCGCATATGGTTGATGACTGCAATGTTCGCATCAATTTCCGATGTGGGATGGTGCAAGATGCAAGAGCACACAACAGGAAAAAATGGAAGATTGGAAGAGTTCTGCTCGCTCTAGGGACTCTTTGTAAGAACTCTGACTATTGGGTTGGTGGTTCCCGCAGTACGTTTGAGATCCCGAAGAATCCAGTCACTAATGGCTCTTGTCCATCAGTTGTCATTCATAGGCGTACAGAACGCCATCTTTGATTTTTGATCGTTGACGCAGATTGGAGTCTCGGATCCCATCCCTTACTTGTGTGGAACGGGATACTCCTAGCACCGCCCTTTAGACTGCGCGTTCTAATGCTGAGTGACCTTTCATCCTACTTAAGCAGCAACCAAGTTTCTGACGCGAACGTTAGGGCAAGAAGTACCGTTGAGTCGAAAAGGTGGGCACGAAGTCGGGTGTTCATTGTTCTCTTCACTAGATCCTCGATGCTCTTGAAAGCTCCCTAAGCCTCTCGTTCCCTTTTGCTCAGCTCTGGAGCTAAGTCGTTCATCATATTGGTTTCGCGGCCTAGATAAATATAACTGGAGCATTCGGGGACATTGGTTCCGTTGAGCGTGAACGGGGTATGCGAAACCAATCCGTTCTTCATGAACATCATTTTTGTTAGATTTAGTCGAAGACCAATCTTTCCACAGGCTTTATTAAAGTCGGCAAGCGTACCTTCCGCTTGGCTAATGTTTGATGTTATAAGGATGATGTCAACAGCAAAGCGAAGATGGTGTAACTGCCGACCGACGATTCTCACTCCCATATTATCCCATTCCAATGTGCGCATGACGTTCTTGAGGGTGGGGGTAAATAATTTTTACGAGATGGTATCGCCTTGCCTAACTCCTCTTTTGACTTCAATGTTAATATCGTTGTAGAATGGTGAGATACTTTGATTGTGAAATTTGTGTACAACTCACGAAGAACCTTTATGTATTGAGTAGGAACTCTTCGACTATCAAGGGTTTCCATAACTGCTTCCATCTCAACTGAATCAAAGGCCTTCTGTAAATCGATGAAAGTAAGACAGAGCGGTCTTTTGTACTCTCGCGATACTTTAATGAGCCTTGTTATCTTGTGGATGTGGTCCATCGTACTAAATCATTTTCGAAACCCTGCTTGCTCACATGGCTGTCTTTCGTCTAGTGTTCTGCCAATCCTGTTTAGGATGGTTGGAGTGAAAAGTTTGTAGACGACAGACAGTAACCAGATTGGGCGATAGTTGCCGATATCGCGTAGGTCACCCTTCTTGAACAATAACACGGTCTTACCGGTCTTCCACTGAGTAGAGACCTTGCATTCAGACAGGTAACGTGTGAAGAGCCGAGCCAGTGTGTTTACGAGGACTGGTGGAAGGTCTTTCAGGTGTTCCGGTCTTATCCTATTCGGACCTGGTGCTGTTCGATTTTTCACCGACGAAATGGCATATCGGATTTTGGAAGGGAGAACCGGTGGTTCAACACATCCATCCTCCTTTATTTCATGCGACGGAGTGTGGAAGTGGCTATCGAAGAGATCTGGGTAGTATTCGTGAATAATTTTCTCCAATGCCTTTCTGGACGCTGTAAGTGTTCCATCTAGGCGCCGGGGTGCAATCATCTTGGTCCCGTAATTGGCGAAACTTCGGTGGGCTTAACGAATGCTTTTCCCAGCCTCTGCAGCTTCGGTTATTACTGCTTCTCTTCTCTCTCTAAGATTTTCGTTTATCGGCTGTCCGCATTGTTTTGCAAATTCAGACGCTAGTTCGCAGTGGCCTGTAGCTCGTGCGATTTCACGCTGGCGTATCAGCTTGAGTGTCGATGTCGATTCTTCGTCGATTCGACAACGGCATCTTTTCAAGAGCCGTCTATTGAATTGAATTAATCCCAGTTTACGGTGGTTCTGGGACTTCGGTTTGGAATTTAGCGGCTTTTTCTCCTCTCCGCGAAAAATCGAATCTTGCACGAAGGAGACGATGTTCTGATCCCATGTAGAATTTTGTGACAACAGCGACATCGGTTAGGCAAAACATTCTATTTACTATGATGTGGTCTATTTCGTTATGGTACTCTCCATTGGAAGACTACCACGTGCAGCGCTGAGCATGGGGCTTCTAGAATTGCGAGTTACCATGAATTGTCTTGGTCGCCATGATAAACTCAGATAGCCGCTCGCCCTGTTCGTTCCATTCTAATCCGTGGGTCCCAATGTGACGTTCTTCAGACGTTCTTCTTGGTCCAATCTTGGCATTGAAATCTTCAATGATGACCTTGAAGAATGTATGGTCTTCTCTGTAGAACTTCTGCATATCCATATAGAACGCTTCGACTTCTTCTTCGTCATAGTTTGATGTCGGCGCGTAAGCGACGTTGGTTGTCAAAGCCGGAATTGATCCACGTCTTTTTAATCGTAAACATCCGATTCGGCTTCTAAGTTGTTCGAATGAATCGATATTCATGGAAAAATTCGTGCTGACGAGAACGCCGGCGTCACTGACTCCTCTACTGTCGCATGCTCCGAGGAACAGTTCTTCTCCGGTATCATAGACGACGTTAAATAGGTGGCGTCGTCCCGTCTCGGCTAGGCCGATGACGTCGAACTTTATCCTTCTTGCTTGCATGAGCAAGTCTTCTATCGAGGACTTGGATGCAAGTGTACGTGCATTGTAGGTACAGATCGTCACCATAGTTCTTTGAAATCCAGGCAGCTTCCATTGGCTTTGAGATTCTAGCAGCTCCGTACTCGTCCTACCCAACGCTGCGAAATTAAGGGCTCCTTCGGGGTTAGGGGAATGAGGCCCGTTCTTTTTACTGTGTTTAACATTTTGACACCCACGTATTGCTGGGCTCTGAACGTGGAGGCTAGGTATACTAACGGGTAGCTTGCCAAGCTCTCCCAGAGTGGACATGGAGCTTATTTGTTGGAGGGGACTCCTAACCGCCTCCCATATAATTCCCAGTCACTTGATTGCAGGCTTTTAGCCGAATTGACTCGTAGAATACAATCCGCATAAGCAAGAACGCACCCACACACACATGCATGAATACGCCTAGCAAATACAGAAAGCATGTGCCAATTCAGCGCAGCAGAAACAGGGAGTCCATCCCCTGGATCCACCTGCATCTCAGGGAAGCAAAGGTCGCTTTTGGTCCGCGATTAAGTCCCTATCCGCCACCTGGGGATGCGCCACGTTGCTTCGCAACCAATTGGCAAGAGATCTCTCTACGAGCGAGATCCGTGGTTATACTTACATAATAGTAAAAATCTTTTTGCAGAACTCCTGTCATCTTTCAAGTGTAAGTAGCCATTGTTTTCGCTGATATTGGAGGCTTCAAGCCTTTGCAATGATTCGTGGTAGCCTGCCAGAGATGGAGGGCTTGGTGGGCCTGGGACGCAGGGAACGATCTCATGTGTGGCATCCTGCACTGTATGGCGCCTCCGACTACTGCGCTACACTCGCCTTTCGCGCAATATATGTGCAAAAGTAACTAGCCGCTAGAAATTGAGAGATTCAACAACTTCCCCTCATTCTTTCGTTCTATAAATGAAAGCTGATGACAGATGACAATCATTGCAGTTCGTCAGTTCAAAGAAAAAATACGACCGGTGCACTAGGTAGTATATTGTATTATATACATTGTACTATATTTGTATTTCACAAACCGACTTCCCTCTAACCTCAACATGATCGATCGATATGTATTCTTTTATTGATGAGTTATCACGAAATTGATAGTCTCCTCTCTTCTCTCTTCTTTCCTCCGAGGTCTTCCGACTTGGATCATCAGCTCTGAAGACGACGAAGACGTCGAAACATTAGCCGAATGATGTCTGTTTATCAATTTCGTGCTAGCCTATCAATGGAAGAATACATACTGTATTTATTTAAAACATGTACACCGTACCATATTGAAGCGGGCCACCCATAGAGTTTGCCTCTTTCACAATCGTCAATGGTATCGCATTGGTATGGACGAGTTTTCCGGGTATTTGGGAGGCTCGCGTCGCGTGCGGAAATCTCAGCGCCCCATACATCCTGGATCTGGCCCACCCGTGGACTCTTCTGCGTTCGGTGTACTTTGTTTTCATCTTTTATTTTGTTATCGTTTTTATTTGTATCCTAACTTTTGAAGCCGATGTTGAATTATCGCTTTGTTATCTCTGTTCATGCGAGGAGTTCATTGTATCCTTGCATTGCTGTGCTCTAAGATATAGTCATCCATCATAGAGTAGAGAAAGTTTAGTTTCTTTCTTCTTAGTTTCCTTAGCTCTTACTCTCCTTAGTCTTCTTAGTGTCTTCTTAGCTTAGTTTAAGTTTCTCATGCTTTCTTGTAACGAATTAGTGACGAAACTGCGTATATTTCTTACGTATGACATACATGCCCCTAGGGTAAGTTCGTGTTGTTTCAGACTATTATGGCAGACATGGAAATTGAAAACGATACATCATCTCCACATCTGAATGAAAATGGTTTGTTCCTAGTGGTTTTGTTCTTTTGTGCTCATTGTTGTTTATCTTTCTCTCTGTGAAGGCAACAGTCGAGAGAATGCAGTCGAGTTTTCTGTCGAGTTGCCTCCATCTGATGGTATGCAAGAACAAGAGACGACGGCTCCTAAAACTGCTGCTCCCGTTCAAGCTCCACCTGTTACTCCCGCCGTAGCCCATGCAGAAGTATTGGTTGCAATGCCTGTTCTTCAACAACATGGAGAGGTAACCTGTGAAACATCTTTGCTAGCGCTTGATATTACGTATTATCTAACTCTGGTGAATGTAAATTTGCAGTATTAAGGTATTCGTTGGCCCTGGTTCGAAGCGCGAGGCACAGCTACTAGGTTTAGGGCTGACGAAGTTGAGCTCTAGAAGAAAAGACGACCTACAGTTGGCGAAAAGATACGCTATGGACGTGTCCATAAAGCAGATTATGCTCCGTCAACAGAAAGCACATCATGAAAATGTACTGCCTTTTTCTTTTTCTTGAGCAAACCTTACTAGACATATTTTATACCATTTTTTAGCAACAAAAACAAGCAATGTATGCTCAAGCTCTGTCTCTTATGGCTCGTGTGTACATTGGATCGATTTCATTTGAAGTTAGAGAGGAGATGATAAAGAAAGCATTCGAAGTCTACGGTCCAATTAAGAGCATCAACATGAGCTGGGACCCTACAACTGGAGTAAGTTAGAGACGTACTTCTGATCCAAACGAACGTTTATCTACACGTGCTTCAAGTAGGGTGTAATTTTCAGCACCACAAGGGATTCGCTTTCTTGGAATTCGACGTTCCAGAGGCTGCTCTTCTCGCTCAAGAGTCTATGAACGGTCAACTCATGGGTGGAAGAAATCTGAAGGTAAAGCTTTAACGTTTCAAAAGATATCTCCACACCAATGTTGATGTTTACGGTTGCAAGTGTACTATTCGCTTGTGGGTTAAATTCGATCCGCAATACCTATTTGAGCCATGAAATTTGTTATATACTCAAAAGTGCTGCGTTGAGTTTTCGATGTAAAGTTCTGCTAGTATTCTGGTTACAATATTGAGACGTAGGTGAGCGTGAACACAGAAGTATTGTTACAGCTGAAAATCACATTAATCTGGGCAGCATACCTTAGGTGACAGGGGCGCTTGTAGCGCAGTGGTCGGTGGCGTCCTGCAATACACATGGGATCGATCCCCATCCCCATGGTCCATCAAGCCTTTCACCCTTCGAGGTGGGCAGGTTGGTACCAGATTTGTCTGGGAAAATAGCAGCACCGGCTCGATACAATGCTTAATGAAGTCGGTTCTGTGGCGCATCTCTTAGGGATTGATTAACGTCGAGAGCTTTTTATACCTTAAATGATCCTTTTAATTATGGTAGTAGAGGTGACGTTATATGTTTCTTTGTAGTTTCAAGCGTATTTGAACTTATGTAATGAGCATCCAACATGGTTCATCTCTGTAGAATGAAGAATGCTTTCTTTCCACTCCTTTATGAACTCAGAAGTCGTTTTGAAGACAGCTTTGTTTGTAACTGGTAATTCTACATACCTTAGGTTGGCCGTCCGTCGAACATGCCTCAAGCGCAACCAATCATCGAAATGGTCCAGCAAGATGCGAAGAAATATCATAGGTAAATTTCTTTTTTTCAGTTGTACGTAATTCCTGTCCTGTGTTACAATTTAGATATCTCTCATTGATGTGCTTTTAGGATTACGTTTTCGTATTCGTTCCTGTAGCGGCGACAACTGTCTTAAATTGCCAATTAGCTTTTTTATTTGTAGAAATGGTCCGCAAGCGATATACCTAAACCTGTGTCAAATTGCTTTCACATTCCAGATGGTTTATTTAAAATTTTATTGCTTGTGCGATATTTATTATCCGCGTTGTGGACAAAAGCTTACATTTTATTCCGTTTTCATGTTACAGACGCTGTTAAAATAGAGCTCCATGTCAATGGGAACACTCTCACTCGCTATCCGCTACAATCCCTTTTAGCTAGAGCTGTCGAGTTTTCCGCTGTTTACACAGTTATTCTGTTTCTCCAAAAATTTGGCCCTAATAAAAGAAAATAATGTCGCACAATTACAGAGTTTACGTGTCTTCAGTACACCCCGACCTGTCGGAAACGGATCTGAAGAGTGTATTCGAGGCGTTTGGAGAGGTGGTCAAATGTCAGCTTGCCAGGCAATGCGCATCTGGGAAGGGAAGTCATCGGTTTGTGTTGTCTTGTTTTCCTGTTCCATAATTTCTTTCTCTATTGATGGCTTCTACCTTTTTCGACACGATTTTGATTGTTTAGCGGATTTGGATACATCGAATTCAATAATGCGGCTGCGATGAATGAGGCCATTGCTGGTATGAACATGTTCGATCTTGGAGGACAATTCTTGAGGGTAAGTTGAGGGTCAGATTTCGGTTATTTGTTTTTGGCTTGTGCATTATCTTAAAAAAATGGGGGAACTTTCACACGATGTGATCTTTGACATTTTTTAGCACTTCCAAACACAATACATTATGTCAAGAACCAGGTATATCATTGTCCTATTGGTTTGTAGCTTACCATTTATTTCCAGGTGGGTCGGTGTATAACACCGCCTGAGGCCTTAACATATCTTTCACCCCAGACACAAACTGCTCTTCCTACTGCAGCTGCTCAAGCAGCTGCAGCTGTCACAGCCAAGGTGATGGCCGCGGAGGCGTCCGGGGTTCGTTAGATTTACTTTCCTACTGTGTCTACTTTTCTTGTAATCTGGACTGAAAGGTGGTACGCTTTTTTCAGGCAGGAAAGACGAATCAGAACTCAGGATCTAACTCCCCACGTCCAATGAGTCCAGCTGCTGTTACACCAACGGTCATAACAGCTCCCAAGATTGCTTCTTCTGCTGTAGTTCCCAACCCATCTCTGACACCGCCTTCTCTAACCATACCTCCTCCTCCTGTAGCTGTTGCGAAGCCACAGATATACAATGTAAATATTGTTAAATTACTATGATTTGATAATCACGTCGCACAGTTAATTTACTTGTTTATGTTTTGGCATTTTAATATGCGATATCGAAATGATTTTTAGCCTCCTACAAGTCAGGTGCCGCCAGTTTCGTATATCCCCCAAGATTATGGAGTACCTCCTCCACCCATGAATGGATTTGCACCAGTAGCGCCACCTGTACACGTGGTTGGTTTTTTTGTTTCATTTACCAAGTGCACGCTCTACTTTACTGTCGAATACAACTCCCTTTAGCCTCCAGTGCCTCCTCCTGTTGGGAACCGTGGTTTTGGTGGTTTTGCTCATCCACTTGCACCAGTTCCGGGAATCCCTCCTCCTGCTGTTCCGCCACCACCTCAGATTCCGTCAGTGATGGCCCCACCTCCTCCTCCTGCATCCAAACCTCCTGTTCCACCTCCCAAAGGAGAGCGAACATTTGAGGAAAAGGTTTGTTCTTTTGTTTTCATCTAGTACCTTAGTTCAAAAGTCTATGAGTTCTTAATTTACCACTGTTATTTATTATCTAATGCTACCATTGTTTTGACTAGGTTGATGAGACAGTAGTGAGCGTAGTTTGCTTTAAATTATTGTTTTATTTAAACTGAAGTTTATTAGACCTAAACATTTCGTCATGGTGAAATTCTATGGGACTGAAAGCCACGAATCTTTTCAAGCGATTTCTAGATAGTGGCCTAGAAGTCTTTTTCAACATTTGTTGAGAATTTTGATAGGATATTAGTTGGCTGCTGATAAGTCAGACGAGTCCGGTAGATAAAGCAGAGTTTTGTAACAGGATTCCCTTAACTTTTAAAACAAAAGGATTTGGGGTTTTATCTTTGTCAATGACAAAAATAAACTGTTGGTGCATTTTATCTATTGCTGGCGTTGTTTCTGTTTAGTAGCAGATTGTCCAATGTTTAAGCAAGCCGAACTCGACTTTTGTTTAAAATTACCTAGCAGCTACCATAACAACTTTTGTGGCGTTTTGACTCCGAGGATTTTTTCATTATTTCACTGCGCTCCAAACTGCACGAACCGGCGATGTCCAATCTTCGTCCAAGTTTGAACCTAGAAGTCGGTGCAAAATCTTCGTTTGAAGGGCGCCATTTCAACAAATCAGGAAAATTAACACCTAGAGTCCCATGTGGATTTATTCCCATCAAAATGTAGCGGTGGATCAGCCACCAATGAAAGCTCTTCTCACGAACTTGCTACTGGTTCCTTTGTTGACTTCAACACTTATATTGTGATCTCTTCCATACTTCAGCGTTTTTTAACTCATGGGAAAACTTCGACTTTTCGTCTTCTTCCTTCTCAATTTCTCCGCCCTAAATTTTATGCGGATTAATAACAAGCACTGACATAAAGGTATGGCATGTAATTTGAAAACGAAGGTATAAAATTCTAAATATATATATGTCACCTGTATCGCCTATAGTCCCGTTGATTGTCGAGTGACTCGAGCGGGCGCCAGTAAATCTTCCATTTTCCTCTGTCACGTGCAAAAGTAGCCCAGTGGGTTCTGCTTTAGGTTCTCGTCGAGCATCATAACCTTCTTCAAGGCTCTTTGTAAAGAACTCTGACCATTTGGTCGGTGGTCTTCCTGCAGTACTTTTGACATCCCGAGGAATTCAGCCACTAACGGCTCTTGTCCATCGATTGTCATTCGTACGCATTACGTGTCCGGCTCACCTTATCTTGATACTTACTTGATACTTGAACGGCCCATCATCACTAGTTGTGCGGCCCCAACATAGTCACCGTTTTTCGGAGATTTGCTGGTTAAGCCATTGTGGCTCCCTGGAATCCCGAGGACAGGCTAGCCAAAGTCTGCCCCAGAACGTCACCACTATAGGCAGTCGCAGTCTTTGCATCAGAGGGAGATTTACCACCATGTGACTTTGATACCAAGACGGTGGTGGATCCTGGTATTGGTTCACTCTTAGCTAGGCTTCCTGATGGAAACGGCGGACTCCTCAGCTTGGGAGACCCTGCCTGGGAGACGAATCCCCTCGCTGTACATCGCAGTACGACACCCAGGAACACCTCCCAACCACGATGAGGCGGTAATCCGTTGGGAGGCCACCTTATCTTATATGTACACATATGTATATGTGTATGCAATACATATCACATGTGTACATTTATATAAATATATATATATGTATACATATACATATATACATTTGCATACCTTACTTGATGCATTCACGAAATGTTTGCCGATGGTCTTCTGATGTCTACGTCCTTAATTTGCCCGGTATTGTAGGATGTTCGTAAAACGTTTCCATGGCGAAGTTTGAACGTCTGACATGTATTACCTTTTGTGCCATAAACCTTGAAGTGAATTGTACAGACAACTATAAACTGAATTCATCTCTATGTTACACCAGAGTTCCACTAGGAACGTAAACTTATATTTTGGTGTGGCGCTATTCATCTTCTTTTCGCGAGAAAATAATCTTGTGGAACCCACGTGAACTAGCCATGCTCTAAGTTTATTCCTATCTAGTTTTTCTGCAATGTAGAATTACCTGTTCATGGGAGATTTTGTGTCGGGATGAACTACAGCTGTACAACGCACTTCAACACCGAGCAGCGCCATTTACCACGACGAATCGGTAAATCATTCGAATCCCTGAGGCTTTTTTCATAAACTCGTTAGCTTCTTTTGGGTTTTATACAGGCCTGCGGTCTCAGCATAATGGATTTCACTTCGTGTCGAGAGTGTTGTTATCAATTTTTGACGCGATTAATTTGTCGGCTCAGGTGGAAATACGAACAATAGGGAAAAAATCGACTTGCTAACTCTAGAAAATGAAAATTTCATTTGCTTAAAATAAGTGAACTTGTCTTATTGGCAGAGATATTTCTTATCTAATGGTTTTCATCTAAATTGGCTGAAGGTACTGTTTAAAACCAGATATCTCAAACTGTCTCATGCTGCGCACGCATTGAATCGAAACCATGCAGTCAGTGGGTTAAAAGTCAGATGTAAGACTAGGGTTCTACGACTTCATTTCAAAATAGTCTTTGAATACTTCATCGAAATTTGTTTACAATTTACTTTATTTTCTAGATGGAACGCATTCTGGAGAGAACTAAAGCTAAACAGGAGGCGAAATTGTCACTTCCTGCGACATTTGGTGCACTCGATCCATTATACGCACCAAAAGATCCATTAGCAAGCTCTGAAGAACCTGATGGTAAATAATTTTCTGTGTACCATATTTTATCGTTCTTTGCTGAGTGTTAGTACATTGTTATAGAAACGCTTGCAATTACTGGAAAGTCAAATCAGGATGTACAAAGTATGGCATTGGCACTGATAGGAGATAATGCGTTAGCAATTAAAGGGCAAAAGGTTCGTTTTGATTTACTTTCTATGCTTACGTTGTTCTATATGGGCACCTGAAAATATCTAGTGATCGATTTTTTTGTTGTAGCAGCCGTGTTGCGTTTTGCAATATGGCAGAAATTATGTATCGAGAAGTATCCAAAAATCATAGTTGCATGATTTATATTTATAGAGTTCGGGACAAGGAGGTGATCAATCTGAACCTCAGAAAAAGAAGAAGCGTGTTGTAGAGGCGAAGAAGATTCAACCAAAGGTGATTGATTATTAGTACATACATTTCGTACGGTACGAGCGCTTCCGTAAGTTTTCTGTCCCCATGTTTTGGCATATTTAGTTTCCTACGTAGCTGGAGAAGCAATACGAGAAAATGAAGACCTTTTAATTATTTAGCTTTTTAATTGCTTGCTAAAAACAGAAGGCTATAAATGGCGACGTTAACGTTAGAATATACGCGCGAATGGCAAACGTTCCAGACACTAAACGCTATCAAAAAGACTGATTTCTTTGAACATTTTAAGCAGCCAAATTCTGTTTCGAAAATATCCAATGAAATCCCGTTTGTATCTCTCATTCGTTTGCGTAAACTTCATTTCGTTTAAGCTCAACACAGCTCAAGCTCTAGCAGCTGCTGCCAAAGCAGGCGAGCTTTCCGATGCTGTTATTAATGAACAACTGAATAGCGAAGACGCAACTTTAGCATCACAAGAGGGACTTGCGATTCGGTTCGTGGCTTCTGGTTCTGTTTTTGATTGGGTCCAATATCTTACTTGATTCTTTTCTCTCTTATCTGTCCGATTGTTCAGTGGAAATGATGCTAGACATCTTCTTATGGCGAAATTAATGCGCACAAACCGATCAACGGTTCTGGTGCTCCGCAATATGGTAAGCTTTCAGTATTTTATGGCTTAAAAGCATAATGGTGCAGTGTTATGAGGAACATCCTCAGCTGTTCATGTCGTTTTTGTTATTGTTTCGTTTTTTAATGAAGTTTTTTATTGCGAAATTTTGTCATCTTCGATCTCCATTCTGATTATATTTGCCTCAGAGCGCGGAAGGGGGTAATCGCAAACGCCTATGTTATTTAACTACTTTTTAAAAATTTCATTTTAGAATAATTTAGTAGCGCTCGTACTTTGATGCTCGACGGTATATTACGAATAATTTAGGGTTTGAAATATCCAACTACTCCCTATGATTTGTTTCGTTTAGGTGAATCCGGAAGACATAGACGAATACCTCGAAGAGGAGATTAAGGAAGAATGTTCGAAGTACGGCGACGTACAGGAGGTAAAGTGTCTTAGAGTTTTGCTATCATAGAGGAAATAAAGTTTTGTGTTAAGTTTTGGTCATTGTTTAATTTTATGAATTTTAGGTTGTCATAGCAAACGACCAGAGTGCAGGTGTAGTAAAGATTTTCGTACGCTTCATTGACCCAAAACAGGTACTGTTTTAGTGACGATCATCCTTTGGGTTAGACTTCGTAAAAAAGAAGTTTTAATGAATATGTTCTAGGTGGACGCTGCTCGAGCGGCTTTGGATAAGCGATTTTTTGGTGGAAATACAGTCTCTGCAGAAATTTATGATCAAGCTATGTTCGATCATAACGATCTCAGTGGTTAAGCGTTTATTTGTTATTCGACGTTACTCTGACTGACTGAACTCCATCCAAATGTTACTTAAAGTATGTCTGCTTGTTTTCGTCCAGCTGCTAAGTGTTATTGTTTTTTGTTTTGCTGTTTTGTACGGAACACTCCACTTCCTAACCTCGATTAATTGTAACCTGACTAGTTAGCGTTGTAAAAGGACCACTTGATTTTCTGAGTAGGCTTGGTGATGTTTTACACGTTATAGAATGTGGAACCATAGTCTTCTTTATGCATATTTATTGGTCTTTTCAATTCACATCCCACTTTCGCATGACGAATCAGTGCTGATTATGTTGCTGTCAATCTGACTGATTGCATTCCTTCGCTATAGCATATTTTATGGATGTCGTTTGCTGTAAACCAGAGGATGTAATTTAATACTAGTAGTTTCCCTCCTCTGTTGTACTAAAGTTTGTAGATTTCTGTAGTTTCTGTGCGATTAAATAATTATTGGTATGTTTTTATATTAGATCCTTTAACCGTCGATGGGCCTACTGGGGTAGTGTTGCACTGCTGTGGAGATAGCCAGGCTATTTTGATTTTGAGAGGAAGCAGGTTGCGTCCTCGATGTTCTATATCGTTGAGGTTTCTAGGAGTACATTCGTGCAAAGCTCCTAGTTTCTTCTTTGGTGTTCGTGATTTCATAGTACTGAAAACTACCATGTAAAGTAATTGTTAAGGTATTTTTTCCCTCTCTGATGTGGTTACGGTGTCCTGGATCTGTTCTTATGTCACAATGAAGACGTCCTCTTATCCTCCCATTATTCTGTATTCCTGTATCATGTAGCTATACCGTAGTACATCTATGCTAGGAAGTGGTCCTGTAGTACTTTCTACGACTAGGAAGTGATCCTGTAGTACTTTCCATGGTTAGGGAGTGAGTACCAAGTGAGGGTATTTACGTGCCGCTTGTTTACGTACGTGTGCCATCCGCCGACCATCGATCGTTTCCCAGCGGTCGTTCACCACGCCCCAATACCTAGTTAAAATATTGTCCTAATAACATTCCGCCTTTCAGTCATTCTATTCGTTCATTCTCTCAGTCATTACCGCAATGATTACCTCATATCGTGAAGACTAGTTCTAAAAAAGAAAGTAGGTCCGAAAGGACGAGATTTCGGAGATGCTATTTCGGATTGTACTGATGTCTTCTGTGTTTCATTGATTCGACCATTATCGATAGGTTAATTAGGTCTGATTAGGTTTAGTGGTAGGATGTGTCTATGTAATCTTTGTTAGTAAACCAATTTGTTGGAAATAAGGCAGTCAATTTTTCAATTTCTAGAGTTTTCGTATTGCTTTAATCCTTTAGTGGTCATTCTGAGCTCTAAATCGGTGCTATTTCGACAATACAAGGACACTATGTACTGAATTTGTTCATACGTCGAAAAAGGAAGAGTCTATCTTGAATCTGAATTGTTTAGAGGGTTCGAGGTCATTTTTCGATTCTTAGGGCAGTTAAAATTATAAGTATAATCTTATTTGTTCCCGTGGTTGTTCATTAAAAATGTAAAATTCTATGGACCGTTTGAGTATCAACCACTCTCTTCATACGTTCATTCGTCATTCGCTCTCTTTCTTTTTCAGAGTTAGGCAGCCTTTGTGATTAAGGATTTTAGAGTAATGTGAATTGTGAATAATGGATGAAGTTAAAAAAAAGAGTTCAGAGTAAAAGTAGAGTCCCGATTTTGGCGCCAAAGAGGTTTTTGTTTTGGATATGTTTTATATTTCTGTTCTACAGCAGTATGATGTCGAAGCCGGTTTGACTTGTTTCACGGTTTACTCCAGACTTTTTGGCGGTCATTAGTGTTTGTTTGCAAGACCAGTTTGATTTCTGTTTATGCTTTCTTAAAATTACTTTGTAAAAATGTTAATGTCTTGACTTGTTATCGCCTTAGTTAGGGCATACAAGCTTGTTCATTCTTCTTGTGTTTGTGCTATTTTTAGCGTAAAACCATAAGAATTCTTTGCAGATGACAACAGCAGTTTCTGGTTGTAAATTCTGTGACATAGCCAATTACAAACGAGATCAACATCTTAGAGAATCGGAAAAGGTCGTTCTGAATTTCCTATTTCGATGTCGTTCGTCTGAGTTTCATTCAATTAAATGCAGTTGAATTTATCTACAAAATCAATGATGTGCCTGTTTAACCAGCAGCTATCCGTAAACAAGGGCACGAGAAACACAGTGGTCGGAGGCGCTCTGCAATGCACATGGGATCGACCCCTCGACCCTGACTCACTAAGCCTTCCATCTTTCCCGCCCGAGTCGGCAAACTGATACCAGACTTATCAAGGAGGATAGCAGCACTTTCCGGATACATCGGTAGGCCACTAAGATGCCAAAAATATGGTGGACAACGTTCGTCGACTTGAAAGCCACAAATCACAAGCACTAAGGCACATGACATAGTACATCTAGATGGGGAAGAACATGTTTGATCAATCAATGACAATATGCGGTTCCATCCTTTAGAAGAAGAGTGATTGAAGGGACTTTTTAAGCTGTTTGCCTGCTGAATGTCTCTTGGGAGCCAGTTTTTCTGTGCGTATGAAAAACTTTTAATGGAGGAAGAACAGTTGAGTGGACTCCACTACGACATGGATTCTGCGATTCTGCTATGCAGATCACTTAAGTAGAACAACTAAAGCCATAGAAGACTTTTGGAACGATCATCGGATTGCTTCGTGATCTAGATATCGTCGTTGAAATGAACATCGCCATGTAAGAGAAAGAACGACCCATCCTGAATTCAAGGCGAATACTATGAAAACTACACTGTGACAATACTTCCTTCGATACCTGAATGACTCATCCTCACTGGTTGTGCGGACTGCAGCAAAATTCTCAATGTTTTGGAGTTCTTTTGGTTTAGCCATTGTCGTTCCCTGGAGATCCGAGGTTAGCCAGGCCAAAGTCTGCTAATGTGACAATGGTACTCGTTAGCGCTTATACCAATCAGTATCATTTTCTCAGCCCATAACGCCTGGTACGGACACTGTAAGGCCCATTTTCAAGTCAGTTCATTCCACAACTTTTTCTTACCACACTATAGGTATTCATTCGACAGTTAATCGAAAGCAGATGAAAGTAGGGAGTGACTAGAAAAAACCTACACTACACTTCAGGGCTCGCAAAAACTCGGAAAAGTCCGCTGACCGGTAGTCTGACTAACTAAACTGACTCATTCCGTTATGAGTTAACGGTATTCAGTGTCACGAACACGTCGAGTTCTCTCATGTCTAAATACCTTTCGAGCAGTCTGTTTTCTGAATTGCAACCAACTGATTAAACACGAGCGCTTAGCTATCGGGTGTTCCGTGAATATCCTGGCTCAGTGGACTAACGGATTATACAGTGGAAGTGAAGCGAATAGGACAGTCAAGTGATGGAATCAGTGGACAACAGGATAAAGGATAGAAGATAGAGCTATCGGCCTTGATCAACCCCTGCGGGATGTGCCATGCATTCGACTTCATTAAGTCTCGTTAGAGATTATTGAATGCATATCTGGCCTTCACAGTGATTCGCGGTGGCCTACCTGTGTCGAGTCAGTGCTGTTATCCTTCCATACAAGTCTTGTACCGATTTGGCGACCCCGAAGCGATGGAAAGCTTGGTGAACCTGGAGCGTAAGATCTATCTCATGTGCATTGCAGGGCGTACCTGACCACTACCCTACGCGCGTGGATAATGGATGAACGAGGAAAACACTCGACTGGACCTCACGATGATGAAAGCGTCTCCAAGAATAGCTACGAAATGGGGGAAACGTTTGTTGTTCTTGAATCAAGATCGACGAGAGATACTGACGACTTCACCAGGAACAGAAAATACTCCGACTTTAGAGCACTGTCTATAGAGGTCACCGAGAGGAAATCATGCTGCGGCATGCACTATTCGTGAGAATGGTCTAGTAAATGACTTTGGCAGGAACGTGAATGGAAACTCGGACTGATAGAAATGAATCCATAGATTTTTCGAAATCTTTAATAAAAAGACTTTTCAGTGCGTGATTATTCGTGACATAAAGCCGAGGACTCCACATCATTTTCTTGCTGTCAGTAAAGCTCACATCAACAAGCCAACAGACCTCACCGCTGCGGATATTCCTCTTCGTATGTCTTCATTAATATTGTACTGTTCATACCTGCTCTATAGGGAATATATGAAAGAAGATATCTTAAAGCTCAATAGCATCACGACTGAAAACATTTTTAAAAAATCTGGTGAGAAAGAAATTTATAGAAATCGTTAGATGTTGCATAGCAAAGTCGGTTCAAGGTGTTTTTTTATGTTACAAGGTTTACCAGTACTTTAGGTCTGCTTGTAGTTAATTTGATTGATACCGATCTGCCATATGTGGCCGGTCGTCTACTGAGGAGAATGCAGGAAGTAGGGAGGAAGAATCTTTCCATCGGAATATACATTACATGTTAGACATGTGTGTGAAGATAACGTCGAAGTGGAGGGGGTTTTTATGCCAGTTAAGAAAATTTTTGATGTCATTCCTGGTTTTTTTTCTTGCAGTAATCGACATGGAGAAGACAGGACGGGAATTCCTTCGGGTCGAACTAAAAGCAAAAGGGGAAGCGGACACGATTGAAGACATGCTTCGAGTCGGATTTCATTGGCCGCCACTTATCACTGAAAACCATCTGCATATGCACATCCTCTATCCGATCAAAGAAGTAAACATTTTAGCAGTTTGGTCACTTTTCATTTACTGCCCACTCTTTTTTTTTTAATGGCAGGGTATTATGTGAAATATAACCATGATGATGCTGAGATATTTGCAAAACCCTGGACCGCTGGTGTCTGCGGTGGGAACTGATCACACTATTACCATTTACGGGGCCTAACGCGTTCACTATCACACAGTGCGAGGACTAGTTAAGAGAAAGGTGAAACGAGGGATCCGCATCGTGTGGTGGTGAACGCGTTAGCTCCCAGAAAGAGTAATAGTGTGTTCGGTCCCCGCCGCAGACACCAGTGGTCTGCAGTTTCGCAAATATTTCAGACTCGTTATGGTTATCGTAGCAAATGTTCCATAACATACTGAAAATTGTAGGAAGAAAATGTTCCAGGAATTGTAAGAAGAAAAACGAGTAACTCTCACAGCAAAATATTACGATTTCAAGAACGAGGAGCTTTTCCACAATATTATTTTTGAACGAATCCAAAGTATTTTTCGACAAAAACATCTAGTTTTGATAGAAAGTTTACAAGTCTTCTAACTTCTATGCAGCTACACCAATTAATATTACAAGCAAGTGGAACTGCGAAAGGGGAAACATTTTATAAAATATGGGCATAGATTCCTCTGAAATCCAACGAAATTCTACGCAGTTAAAGTGGCTGGTTATGTCTTGTTGACTATTTGAGATACACTTTCTAGCTTGGTTTCTTCTCGCGAAACCTTATCTTTCGTCCAGGGATGATATTCCGGCCAACAAGCGAAGTAATTGAGGAACTAAAGAAGAGCGCCAATGTTCCCGATCCACTTAAAGGTGACTTTAAGTACTCAGTAGTAAGAACTACTTTCGAATAAAACATGCACAACTGAACTACTCTTCTCTTTAGGTAATCCGGCGAAAAATGACGAACATAATGTACTTCCAGCACACGCTGTTGCCAATTGATTTCTCTCCAAATGAGGACACTTCAGTTCACCTTCTTCTTTATGAGATTATTGCTCTTATTCCTGTCATTCCTTGACCTTTATGTGTAGTACAATAGATGCGAACTTAACGAGATACTAACGCAGTTCCGCTTGCATATTGGACATTTTCATTTCACGTACAAGGCAGTTTCATGTAGATATTTTTGTGTACTATACCTCACCGTAGACATGATGATACTGACTGGCCTATTTGTCGGTCAGCTGCCTAAAACCTTATGTACCTTATTGATTCGAATAAAATGCGTTAAGCTAAATCGCTAAGTCATTCATTTTACCATAGCATGTCGTGTATGAGTACTTGTGGACATTCTCCGCCTTCATTTTGTATTCATATGTCGACTATAAATTTCTCATAAGATATTTTACTGATGATCGTATCAACAGATGTGTCAGCTACATACATTGAGGGACGAACAGGTGCAGTAAGACCATTTAACGTAGCTTCTTCATTTGATAACTGACAACAATAACAAGAAACAAAAGGCTAACCAGAACAACAAGGATTATTCAGTAAAAATCGGAGTAATAATTCAGTTCCCGTTACTTTGGCTTGCGACCACTTTGACGGAGGAGATAATTTCGCAGGCTCTTCTGTTGATCTCGGAAAGAACGCTGTCGATTCCTTCCCCGAACCTGTACACAAAAGTAGTTTATTGTTAGGTATTCGTATTTCGTTCGAAATAGCTATGAAGTTAGCTTCGCTTCTCAGAATACCACTCACATTTCCATGCAAAAGTCGCTATTAAGAGTTGAAACTGTTTGTGGGAAATACCTACCTTCGCTTTAACCATGTTAAACACTTTCTTCTTCGCCATTTCCCGATTGGTTCTTCCGACATGTGGACCCTGAGCATTGTTAAAGTTGTTAAAGTTCAGTTGACAAGGCGATGGTTTGTTGAGAAAAAGTAGAAACATTTTATTTCAGAGATGCTATTGGCAATGAATTTGAAGCAACTCACGTTCTTTTTTGGTCGCCCAAACTTCTGATTTTCATCGCGACCCTCTTTAATGCCTGCTAACCGTTCTTCTTTCGTTTGTTTTTTCTTCTTATGAAACTGTTCGATATCCTTCAGGCGTGGTAAACCATCACCATCATTGCGTCTACAAAAGAAAAAACAGATGGAATAGTGAGAAACAAGGATACAACTAAGTTAATGAACCTTTCCATTCGTTCACCTAATTCTTCTACTAGCTTAATAGCATCATTCTTTGCCCTTGATTCGAGTTGCTTCTTCAGTCGTTTTTCCCCAATGAGCTTCTTTTTCAATTGATATATTCGGATTTGTTTGAATTCCTCCTTAAACAGTTATATAGACATACCCGGATAGAAGTTACAGAAAGATGAAAACCGATGAGAACTGGAGAACTTGATGTCACAAACTGAATTTAACCCAAAACAGATGTGAGCAGCTTCCAGTGCTGCCAACCCAGCGGAATGAGAGCAATTTTTGTGGCTGCAGAGTTTGCGGTTTATGACAATTAGAAATAACTTTTCGACAACTACAGAGCTCTAGGGATTGTGAACATGATAGGGTTGCAAAAGACACTTTGCATTATCTTTGTATAGGTTGAATGGTATGTATGTTACTAGTCACTATGTGTGTTACTATGGTCGATTATGTAACTACAATTTCGTCGGTACTTGGCAGTATCATGCACCTTATTTGAAGACCACTTCAGTGCTTTTCATACCCGCACATTCCATACAGTAACCGTTTTTAAAATTTTTTTTTATACGACCCGCCTTTAGGTCTACAACGCAGATCCTAGCACTTCTCACATTTCGTTTCCTCGCAGCCATCAACTACGAAGGTTTTCCTACGTTTACGTATGGCTTCGGCTGCTGCTTCAGGATTTTCAATTCATTTTGAATGTCGCAGAATGCTACTCGAACCAATTTTCCATGAGTTTTAAGATAGCCTCGTTGGAGTGTTCCCAATTGGATTGCAGAGTGATTTTTTCTGAACAAGTCTGGTAACAATTTCCCGACCACAGAGGTATCAGAAGCTTGGTGAGCCTGTGACGAAATCGAACCAGTGCCGTGCTCCTAACTATCGGCATCACTACTACTGTGTTATCCGCTCACTACACAATAATAACTGTCATTAGAATCGAACAATAGTTGCTGGTAAACTTACCAGCCAATGAACTTCATCGAAAAAAGTTCTTTGTAAACTAATAAGTGTAGAAAAACGCCTTTTCGGTTTCACACTGCTATTTCGATCCGCTTTCGATTAGCTATCGAATGAATACTAGTGCGGTAAGAAATTCTTCGATACACTGAACTGAAAATGGACTTCATAGTGCCCATATCGTCCATATCTGGACCAGAAACGTCTGCACTCATTATTGCTCATATAGAGTGATACGGGTTAATGAGCACTCCTTAGAAATAATACACGCACAGCAACTGTAAGGCTCACTAATTCAGTGTCGACACCCAAAAACACTATCCATATAATAAACTTGGTTAGGACCATTAAGTGATTGTGAACACTACTGTACCTGTGTAAGGATCCTGTTTGAACTGATCAATGCCGCTTTCTTTTTTGGATCTATTTCACCATCTTGTGCTGTAACTGCGCCACATTCATCAATGCATATCTAAATTTTCCCAGGATAATTCACAGTTTTCTTCATGAGCAAACTCTCAGCGATGCTGTCAGGATATTTCATTACATAATCAGTCAATATCTTCGGAAAGCAGGTAAGAAACTGAACGACTATGATCGTGATGATCCTACTCAATGCACGCGCATTTCTAAAAAATGGGTTCTAACAAAAAGAAGGAAGAAAAACGACCACGAAATGTACGGAACTGGAGTTGAAGACAAGGAACGGCTTTAATTATACCCTTTCGGTATGAAGCTTAAAGAAGGGATTTATCAACAACTAAATGAATCTATTTGCTATGCTACCTTGCCTTCATCGTCCTTTTTCCCATTCTCATCTCCAATTTGCCAACTCTTTTCGTTAATATCTTCATCCTCATTGGTGCCATCATTTCCATGTTTTACATCAACTGCTCTTTGCTTAGCTGGAGATTCATCACCAGAGTCAACCTCATCGACATCAATATCTGAAAAATATTCGACATCAGCCTAAATTTCAAGCATACCTTACAAATGTCTTATTAGACTAAGTCAAAAACAAAACCCTACCACTTATCTCCACACTATCATCACTGTCATGGTCTCCGTCAACTTCCATTTCTCCGGTATCCTCACGAATTTCCTCAAGTACTTCTGCACCAGACACGAATTCTGCGATCGACGGTTTTGCAAACGCCAGAAACCTAGATAGATGGAAATAACGAACAACGAACAGTATAACACAAAATAACACGCATTCGTTTTAAAATATCAAACGCACTCCTTCTCGCTGTCAACTTCGTTCGGTCGCCCACGATCTTTTCTGGCAAGCAGATGTGGGTTAATAGCTCGGAAGAGCGTAATCAGTGAACGAGCCGCCATTGAAACGTTTTTGTTTTTGTAGCTTTTGTACTGAAGAGTGAAGAACCACGAATTAATTCATAGGAATTCCAAATTCTGGCAAGAGTTGCATACCTCCGCTAAGTCTCTGAGCAACTCTTCCGTTGCGGCAAATGAACAGTTTGCAAAAATTTCACGAATTGCGTTTATACCCACAGTGATAGCTTCTGGGGAATTCCTGGAAAAACAATTCAGACTATTTCAACTACCCGACAAAAGGACCTTTAGATCAAGAATAAAGGCATTGGATTCTTAATGTTAACATTTCTGTTATAATGTGCCTTGATTTCAAAGTAGGGTACAATACACAATGCGAGCTGATTTCAGTGCAGTCCGTCATCGCCGAAAAACTAGGAAAAGTTCCATGCAGCCAAATCGACAATCAACAGCTGTTGTAAATACCACAATGGCAACTTTTTTATTTACTACCTACTACAAATGATGCTGGATATCTGCAAAACTCCGCAAAGCGGGTGTCTGCGGTGAGGATCGCACACGCTGTTAACCCTTCATGCGAGCTAACGCGTTCACCACCACACCATGCGGGTCCTTCGTTTAGCCCTTTCTCAGCTAATTTTCTACGCCATCAGCAATCACCCTTCAACTGGACTGATCTGGGGAGCACAAATGGGCATTGAACCCAGTTAACCTAAGGCTGTGTCGAAATCACAGTATTAACTTCTTATTTACATAGTCCCGGGAAATATATGAGCATCATTGTTGTAGATATATTAAAGGCTATATTTTAACGCATAACTTAATAGGTTAGTTTTCTAAAACTCACCTTTATCAATGAAAGTAAGCATCCAGCAGTAAGCATAGTCAAAACACTTTGTCAAACGTGTTACACGCTTGGACACTATCTACTTAGAAGTTTAACCCTTTAGATCAGTTAAAGTTATATAAAAACTAAATGTAATTTGCTTCTTTAAACTTCAAATTAAATTAGTCACAGATTAACATGAAGCAAAAACAGCGTTTTCGAAACATTGAGCAAAGTATGTACCTAAAGAAGGTTTCTAGAAAATGAAAAATGTATAGACATACACACGGAAAATCTTTGTGGAACTTCCAAGTTGTAAAATAGGATTTTTCGTAGCCAAGAACTCATTATTGACTGACGTATTAACAAGAGTCGCCAAAAATACCAGTACTCGAAGAATAAGCAAAAGTAATGTTTAAAAAAAACATTGAACTACAAATCTGGTAACCTACCTGTCTGTGACAAAATTGTTTGCTATTGTACGCACAAGTTGCTCTACCGTATCAGGTGGGACCATTTCGTGGCATGCTTGGGCTGCATATAACAAAATCCGTGTCACCTAAATTCGAATAGTAACTTGCAGGAAAAAGAACAAACCCAAATGTTCTTCATATTCCTGTTGAGCAAACATGAAGTGTTATTTTATTCTTTATTCACGAACAACCTGACGTTTTGCTGGGCGTTAGCTGGTTATGAAGGTGTTTGGCTAGGTAGACTCTTCTCAACTTGACCTTTCAAGGTTCTTAAGAAGGCGAAGTCCGCAGAAACGTCAGTTTGTTCATGAATAAAGAATAGAGGAACAACCGCGTGTTTGATCATCAAGAATGTAAAAAATTACATGATCAATGCCACAGTTAACAGAAAGTCGGTCGTTGGAATTACTACGAGATGTACCAAGAAGCCAGATATGTTAAAACATACGTCTCTTTGCTTCGGCTGTAAGTAACGATGAAGATAAGAATAGAAGCTGAGGGTGTGCAAACGGTGCACACCTATAACTCGAGCACAAAGTGCAATACGAAGAAGCCGTACCTATACAAAAAAAATCAATCTTTAAACACACGAATAGAAAATCTAGTTCAAAAAAGCACAGCCCACCCACTTCATACTTAGTGATTTTGTTACCATCTAACAATTGAAACAACTTGTCCGCAAAGTCCTGAGGATCATATAAGGATTGGATTGCAAACAGATTACATTCCTTGCTACGACCATCTAGAAAAGATGATGTTCACAAACAAATTATCTTCTTGTCCATGAAACAACCTTTTTTCGCCTTCTTCTTTTTGTTCATCGCTTTCTTCGACCTCTCAAGATCCTTCGCCCTCTTTCTGGTTTTCTTCGCGTGACGAAATGCGGTCATTACCTGTGAGTCGTCGATTGAATAAGACGAACTTGAACTTCAGCGTGCAATTTGAAAAATGCGGTTCTCACTTCCTTTATGGTTTTTCCATCCTCTTCGCTTTCGCTTCCAATGTCGCTTCCATCACTTTCACCATTTTCGTCTTTCTTCGAGCCCAGAAAGAACATCATAGCAGTGACCTTCAGAAGAAAAAGTTGTGTTCCTTTCGGAATTTACCACTAGCAATATTTCGGATCTTTCCTTTTTTGAACCAAAGCAATTTACTGTCTAATCAACCACCAGACGCGCTGCAAAGAGAAAGCACATCCTTTAACTAAACGATTGTAAGATTCAGAAAAGTTCGTTGCTAAATTTTGTGGATAAAAACATTCCTTCTGGAATTTTTTTACTGATTCTTCAACAGAAAGAAGTGCAATACTAAGGTGCAAACCTGTATTTTCTGGATTTTGTGAAAGCATGTTTCAGCAATGACATTGGCACATTTCTCATCTCGCCAATAGCGTCTCCGAAAAGCATCGATACAAATCAGTTGAGCGGCTCGGGCAACAATAGCACGAGAATCCTGGAAAAGATTCTTCAATGGTTAAAACGCATCAAAAGCGGAAAAAAAATACCTAGAAGTTCGTTTTATAACGTATGAAAGTACTGGACACAATAGAAATTCTGTCCTCAGAAGTTTTTCTATGACGGTCAAGGTAGCTATTATCTCAAAAAAAAAAAACTTAGGAAAAAACCAAATCGACTATTTATACTGAAAGCACTCAGCATGAGAACAAATGTGAAAAAAAACACAAAATATTCCTTCCTACCACTTAGCACCGTTTTCACTACTGTGGTTACGCTACTTTATTCTGTATGTCGTGAAAATTACTTAAAAATACAGAATCGTAGTAAAGTGTACACATATGTTAATTCACCAAAGTTTAAATTCATGAAAAGTACATATGCCGTGATGTAATGAGAGAATTCAAAATAGGCCTTAACAAACTGAAAAACTACGCCAAAACACTGGCGAAGGTGTAGAAACCGATGCACGTCAAAGCTAGCTTAAGCAGTTTCCAGTGGACTTACCAATATAACTATAACTGAAGAATGGGAATCCTATGTGCTAGAACTGACACTATGTATCAGCTGATACCAAATAAAACTTAGTTTTATTTCAGCATTTACTGAAGCGCTCAATGATAATAATCCCAAGGTCAGCGTCGAGTTCTTTGAGTTCTATAATACCTCTACGGTCATCAGAAATAGTATCTCTATTCCGTAGCACAAAAAAAACTGCAAGTTTTAATGAGTATATCTTAGCAATCCAAAAAATGTACAACTAAATACCAAATGAAAAAACTCATGGTTAAGTCGAAGCATTCAACCTATAAAGGTATAATTTCTAAGTTATTTATTAAGACAATACCTACAAACAGTGTGATGTTTAAGAGATAGTGGATGTTTCACGCTGTCACCTTGGTCAATATCTACGCGTGATAGCGCATCGTGTGAAAACTAGAGTCCTTCGACACGACGGCAAAAAAAGGACAAAACTCTCGGTGTTGAACAATCCCTGAGGGGGCGCCACGCATTCGACTTATTCAAGCGAAACAAAGCTCAGGGCAGCACGAATGCAAGAGGACCAAGTATCTGTTTGTGCACTATGATTAGAACAATCATAATAAGCGCAGAAGAAGGCAGGACCTTGATTTATGGAAAGAAGGAACCCGAATAATTTTACGATGGTATCTCGAACCGACAATACCAGCGCTCTATTTACATCGCTCATTTCTCGAAAAATTTCTAGTCTTTTATAAAGTTCCAGCCCAGATTAGTAAATTAAGGAGCTTTATGAACAGGCAACATCAAATCTGAACGGATTCCGACCAGTGACATCGGTTCTACAGTATTATTTATATAATTATTAACGGGACTATAGGTGATAGACGTAAGCAATAAATAGTTCTCCCATAAGCAAAAGGTTTTAAAAAAACGAAAGCCACCGACCTTCAATTTTGCAAAACAAAAGTTTCGTATTTTCCCTAAAAACTTCATGTCCTTTTTCTGGTTATACAGCTTCTTCAGCAGCGATAAAATGGAACTCGTGAGGAACCTCCTGCAATTACGTCGAGTATACGTCCAGCAGTAGGTCGGAACCGTCCGTTAGAATGGAACAAAGATTAACTCACCTCAGTTGTTTGTCTTCAATCTTCACCAATTCAAAAAAATTCTCAACGAATATTATGGGATCGATGAGGTTTTGATTACGCATCAACACTAATGCTTTACAAAACGAAATCCTTACCTAAACGAATGAATAAACACCCAAACTGACCCTTAGCGGGAGAAAAATAGGGAAAAGGACCAGCTCACATGAGGATCGAGTCCGCCACCTTGATCGCGGAGAACACTCATTATATGCGAAGAGAACTGATTCGCCTGCTCTGAAGTAAGGATGATAAAAAGTAGATAGAAGCCTCTAAGCCGGAACATACCTGGGAAGTATTTAGCAAGACCTGACAGGAATGTCACAGACTCCAGTAGAGGCTGCAATTCCAACCTGTGTTGTTGTGGTTGTAGCTGGAGCAACTTCATGGCATGAAGATAGTGATCGAATTGTTCCATGAACTCCTGTAAACGACTATTTTTAAATGAAGCGCTTTCCATTCTTAAAAACAAATAACCGACTGAAATATTCCCATCTCTTACTTAGTTAGATACCCCGTTTTCACTGGTTGTGAGGGCTCCACGATAACCTCCAACTCTACGAAGTTTTCCTAGTTTAGTTATTAGGATTCCCTGGAGTGAAGAGGTCACCCAGGCCAAAGTCTACCCCAGGTCGTCACCACCACAAGCAGTCGCCCCCTTTGTGGATCAGAGGGAGATTTGCCACTATGCGACTAGTTTGGTACCAGGACGGTGGTGGATCCTGGTATTGGTTCACTCTTAAATCGGCTTCCTGACGGAAACGCCGGACTCGTACTCCTTCATAGCTTGAGAGATGCTGCCTGGGAGGTGAATCTCCCTGCTGTAAATCGCAACCCAACACCCAGGAACACGTTCCAGCCACGACTACGCGGTAAACCGTTGACAGAATTCCCTTCACTACTAACAATAACTATTCTCGAACACTGGAACAGCAAGGGCTTAGCATTTGCCAACATTCATTTTCGTTCTTTCCCGAACTACATTCTGCACAGAAAACAACCAAATAATCATCGATAACGTGTAAGTAAAGAGGCTAACCTCTTTATATGATTCCGGATCTCGACGAATAACTTCCATCATAAGGCCGAGATTTCTCTCACACATGTTGTAGCGACTGCTACTACATGGAGCAACAACAGACGCCATGGTTACCAATCTAAATAGAAAAAAGTACAAGAGGAAGAAATCAGAACCACAAATGTCAAAGCAACATAGACAATATGACACTTCACCAAAAGGACCGAAGTCCTCTTCCAGTAGGTTGAAATAGTTCTCTAAGAATTTCAATAACATAAATCGGTTCCTAATTGGGTAGAAAAGGGCTTTACGTCTGGCTTGCCATTCTCAAAAGGATGAAAATTCATATTAGAGGAAATCAGATTCCAGAACTTCCTATACAATCTGTTAAACAGAATGAATCTCATTGAGGTAAATTGAAGGCCAGAGGTCAACCGAACGCCTATGATGGAGACAAACTCAAAAGACACATCTTTTATCTCACCAAGAAGCAAATGACTTTGATATTTATGCAAGACAACGATCAAAATAAGGGCCATTGTGGGTGTTTTTCGTCTCCATGAACTTTTCATTAAAATCTATGGCCCAAGAATCTTCCAGTGTGCTTTAGTACTTCGAGAAAAATGCAATCGCACAAATTATGAGCAAGTATAAGCTAAACAAATGACATGAGAAAGAGACATTTAGTAAAGTCGACACCGATTCACAGGTGTAGAAAATTCGTTGCTCTAGTAGACATCGCGAAAAACTCGTACAGAAATTTTCGCGTGCGCCGAACCCTCTGTCGACTTCGCGACAGTCTTGTCAGAGTAATCAATGCTTTTAAAAATTGTAGATGAATCAGAACCGTGAAAATGATAGTGAACTATTTTTTTAAAACTTCTGTTTATACCTCCTAATCCCACGTATCATACGAATCTAAGCATTTCTTCACCTCCGTTTCATCCACCATCCATGGAGGTTTTCGGATTGCGTGTGATTCGGTTGCCAGTTGAGGAATTTGATATTCTTCATAGATATCGAATATCACGGGGCACGTGTAGAGCAGTGGTCGGAGGCGTCCTGCAAAACGGTAGGCCACCACGAGTCATTGTAAAGGCCAGATATGCTTTCAATCACCTGCAAACGATGCTTAATGAAGTCTAATGCATGGCGCATCCCTAACGAATTGATCAACGCCGAGAGCTGAGCATTATCCTTTATCGTTTGTCCATAGACATCATTAAATACTAGTGGGGTTAATTCTCTCTGGAATTCCGTGATAGTTCCAGAGCGTTTCTGGGTTTTAAACATATGCAGTTGCTGGATCATATGAGTATAAAAGAGTTCTCCATGACAACTCTACTACATCTTAGCTCCGTAGGGATTTGAAGTCTGGTTTGGCGGAACAGCGCTTCAACCAAAGGCTATGCGTGATATTGCAGCGTATCTCTAACCACTATGCTTCCTTGCCTAGTGGTAATGAAAATCACGTTATTGACTGATGCTATCACAGAGACAGTGATGATTTGGAACAATTATGATGAATCGCGAACGCCCGCATTGCGACGAGGACCAACTAAGGGTCATCTACTGGAATCCAAGCGGCTCTGAGGAAGGTGAAAGAGTAGAAACGTTAAAGGACAAAAAGGATAGAGTTCTCAGCCCTGATTAAACCTTGAGAGATACGCCATGAATTCCACTTAATCAAGTATCGTTAGAGGTGGTTGAATGCATATCTAGCTTGTATAATACAGTGGCTGGCGGTGGCCTATCGATGTATCGAGCCAGTGCTGCTATTCTTCCAGACAAGTCTGGTACGAATTTTCCTACCCACAGTGGATGGAAGGCTTGGTGAATCTGGGGAGTGGGATCGATCACATGTGTATTGCAAGGCGCCTCTAACCGCTTCGCTACACGTGCTGAAAAGTTGGCTCAATAAAATTTCTATTCCAACCTTGTGTCAGCTCAGTAATACAAGGTATTGATAAGATTGTTATCTTTGGTGTCGGAGCTGGCACGGACGATCAGTTTTACGACTACATAAGCAAATGTTACGAGAAATTTCGTCGTCATGTAGATGAGTATTTATATTAGGTGGGAAGCCTGCTTGGTTTTTCATTGTCTGATTTAACGATGGTTTCAAGGTTCGGCAAGCATTGTTTATATAAGCGTTTTGTTAGCGTCTTTCCAAAAATCGGCTTTGTTGTCAAGTAACTGTAAATACACGGCGCGGCTAGCACAGTGGTAGTGATGTCTATCAACACGAGCACGGTGTTAGTTCGATTCCGCTACGGGCCAACCAAGCCTTCCATCCCTCCTGGGTCGGGAAATTGGTGCCGTACTTCTCTGGGAAAAAATTCTGCAATCTAATTGGGAACGCTCCAGCCTGGCTATCTCAGGACTCTAGGAGAAATTGTTCGACTAGCATTCTACGACATTAAAATTGAAATGTTAATCCTCCAGCAGCAACAGAAACCAGGAACAAACGTGGAAGATCTTCGTGGACGATGAGTGCGAGGGAACGAAGTGGATGTGGGAGGTGCTGGGATCCGCACGGTAGACGTGGAGACGGATGAAATAAAATAAAATAAAAATTGTAAACACACGCTAAATCGTGCCAATCTTTAAAGTTTCTTCAAATCTTCACCCTACTACTAGTAAATACTCTTTGAATACAAGTTTTCGAACATGGTTGGTTTTGCTCAATTGCTCGAGGTGTACGCGTGGACCACATGGAGTGGGCGACTTACTTTTCTGTTCTAAAAAAGGAAAAAGAGTCAAAAGCTTCTTGAAGGAGACGAAAACGTCGAAGCGTTGGCCGAATAAACCTTATCACTCTTGTGATAGGTTATTAATCAAAGAAGGTATTGACTACTTTGTTTTTTGGAATAGGATCTTGTAATTTTGATAACCATTGAGTGACTTGAGCGAGTAGCTTTAAGCTTCAATCGTTATCACGCAGGTCAAGGGATGCCTATTGTGTTCTGACCTTAATCATTGTTCATGGATAACAACAATTTTTTTGTCCGTGTTTTTTCTTATAAATCGTTTTTGGCTCCGTCTTAGCAGAGGTCTGGGCTTAGTTTACTATTAGCTAGGCTTTTAGATGGGCAGATCGAGCTACTTTGGCAATTTTGCCTGGGGTGCTAAACATCGTATGGCCCACCGCTGCTTAGGATCTAAGAACATCCGTCAGCCATGGCTATGCTGGAAATCACTAGAGAGTGTTCTTTTGCTAATATAATCTTTTGGTGTTCGTATTAATCAGGACAGGCATATTCAACTCACTACCCTCAGGGAATCGCTGTCGTTCGGGAAGAATCTGCCTCGCAAAGAATCAAATTTCTTTCTACGAAATGCAGAACTTGCTTGTGGTGGGGACCGGAGAACACACTAAGCCCGTTATCTCGTGTTTCTTAGGAAACTGGCATGCAATATGACGGACATAATAGAGGGGCGACTTGCAACCGAAGCTACACACAACTAGTGGTTGAAATGGTTGACGGTTGCAAGGAAGTGAAACAAATATAATGGGACCCACGTGACCTGTGAGGAATGCTCATCTTTAAGTAACTATATTTGCTTCAGAGCAACAAATTTTCCACATTGTTGGTATTACTGACGTTTCCTTTCCTGTACCCTCATTAACCGTCGGGGTAACGGTCGAGAAGTCTGACTCCATCGAGAAACCGAGTGAATGGCCTATCTGAAGTATTAACGTCTTCGGATTGGGTTAAAGTATCACTAGGAAGACACGCGAAGAAACAAGCGGAGGCATGTTACATATGTTCTCTCAGATAAGTGCGAAGTCTTCTTCTTTTTTGCTTAGTCTGCATGAATCCTGGCTAGAAAGCCAATAGAAAGTTTATTCGTGAATAAAGACGTACTTCATGCCGAGCTTTGATGCAGTTACCTTGCTTAATTACATGCTCGGATGACCTGTCTTCACACGTACGTGTCTTAACGCTTCTTCGTTCCATTTCGTTGTCTTCTATCTTCCTGGAGGTAATCGGGACTCGGTACAAATTCCACTGGAATTTGATCTTCCTCTTAACAACATGTTGAATGTTTTCCGAGCAGGATTCCTTTTGGACATCCGGGCTGGCTACGCTAAGGTGTTCCCAGGTCGTCACTACAGGTATTGCTGACCTTTGAGAACCGCAGGAGAGTTTGTTGCTTTTCAACTTACATTCTTTAACACATAACAAATGATGTGCCTTTTATACATTTACATGCGGCGTGTGGCCGGTGTGTGATACTACGGGTCATTTTCTTTCCAATGGTTTATTTTGGCGCGCAGAGTCTCTTTCCTCCACTTCTTGTAATTGATCTGTAGCTTACTCTAAATAGATGTTGTAGGGGAGGAGCGTCGACCAGAAAAAGATCTTTTCTGCATTCTTTTTTGATGAGCTTACACGAGGTTGATAATGATATTTATTTTCGGCTAACGTTTCGACGTTTTCGTCTTCTTCAGAGAATGCAGACTCGGATCATCGGATCTGAGGAAGACGAAGACGTCGAAACGTTAGCCGGAAATAAATATCATTATCAACCTGGTGTGAGCTCATCAAAAAAGGAATACATATTGATTAGTGATACCGTAGATCTTTTCTGCACTTAGAAATATGTAAAGAAAATCTTCTCGAACGAATTCATGAAGGTTAGGCGTTGTCACAAACGCACGGACGATGTGAGTACGTTAGAGGACAAGGGCGAGTCAGTAGTGAATCGCGCTATTGGTTGCTTTGCTGCTCGTGGACTATTTGATAAATCATAGCTAGGATGTGATGAGATGAGTTTGTTAAACCTTTTTTTGTCTGTTTCCTGATCTTCGACCTTCAATTGTAGTCGCGCGACACTACTTGGACAGGTAGCGCCGGACGAGATGATGGGTCGTGTGAATGATAGTGGAAACACGTGTTGTTTCTACTCTCTTATCACTTTGTTTCCTCTCCTTTTGAAGTCATTTCTTTTGAACGAATAGGATTTATTTGAACACAGTTATCATTTCTACCACCTGTGCCCTTCTGTTGATCGTCGGCCGTTCCCAGTCGGTCCAAGTCGGTCCTGTTACGCGCCAGGGCTTTCATGTGGTTCTGATCGTTCATCCATCATGGGAATCATCATATTGATTGTTTTGTGTCATACCAAAAAGCAAAATTTGGTGCTACAATAACAGCAGGCATCCTAGGATTTCAAAGTTGTTATGTTGTAAAAGAGACTGTGAAGAAATGGTAGAAAAAAATGAGGTGTAGAAAGTGTCTGTAATAAGTTCAGTAGAAGCGCAAGAAGATAATTTATTAAACAGGCTAGGGGTGCCTTTTCTTGTTGGAAAACATTGGAGTTTTGGGGGTTGTTTGTTTCCTAATAGGAGTGCGTAGCCTAAAAGTTAAATGTGCCTTACAAAACATGCATGCTTTTAGTTCGATCCCGTGCTCCGAGCAAACGAAGCGCTGAATCCTCCGGAGTCGGAAAATTCGCATCAGAATGCTGAGAGTCTGAGAGGATAAAGGTAGCAAACTGTTACATCGGTAGTATCTCGCAAGTCAGTGTATGAGCCAATTATGCCTTCACTCACACCTTCCATTATTGCGAATGATTTTCTTAAGAGATTGGTCCACATCGAACTCTCCATCGTTTTTTGTTTTCTAGAAGACAAAGTGATCGACTACTTCTTTATTGTGGAACACGATAAACTATGCCTACCAACGGTTTACCTCCTCATCGTGGCTGAGAGGTGTTCCTGGGTTCGGACTGCGATGTACACAGGGAGGATTCATCCCCTGGCAGGGTCTCCCAAGCTGAGAAGGAGTCCAGCGTTTCCATCAAGAAACCTAGCTAGGAGTAAACGAATACTAGGATCCACCACCGTCCTGGTATTAAAGTCGCATGGTGGCAAATCTCTCTCTGATCCACAAGAGCTGCGACTGCCTGTGGTGGTGAAGGCCTGGAGCAGACTTTGGCCAGGCGCGCCTCGGGATTCCAGGGAACCACAATGGCTTAACCAGCAAATCTCCGAAAAATGGAGGTTATGCTGGAGCTTGCACAACCAGTGAGGACGGACCATTCAAGTATCAAGTAGATAAACTATGACGAAAAGCAAAGGTCATAGTTATGATACTGTAGCGCTAAGCTTAATAAACCACCACGCACATGTTTTGTATGAAGAATAACAATTTGTCATACAAAGCTGGAAAATAGTAGGTCATCCTGAGCATCGAGTCTAATAACCTTTCGTGCGCTCCAGTGTGGATTACACCGATCCTCTAAAGAAAAGTGGGGAAAGGTAACAAAAACGTATGAGATTGTCCTCTCTTTTGTTACGGTCTGAGACATTCTGATGATCTGTTCTGTCCTATTTATCTAAGTGTCTCCACATGTATTTTTAGGGGCTGATTTAATACTAATGTTTCCTGAAGCGTTTCTTAAGCTTGTGATTAATAGTCCAGCTCCTATATGCTTAACTTTGTCGGATGTTGTACTTCGTCATCATTCCATTCAGTGATTTCAAATGGACAAGTGATCAAGTATAAAACGAAGTCTGTTGGCCAATGAGTATTTCTTCTAGTTCTCTTTATTCATGGTAGTTTAGCGGTTGAATGTCCTCAATTTACTTATTCAACCCCTACGGACCTTCTAAAGGTTCGCCGCGTCATTGTGGCTGAGAGATGCTCCCGAATGTCGGACAAGACATACTGCTGGGAGTTTATCCTTTAGCAGGACCTCTCAAGCTGAGAAGGAGTTCGGTGTCCTCACCCGGAAGCCTACCTGAGAGTAAACAAATATCAGGAATCACTGCCGTCCTGGTACCAAATTAGTCGCAAGGTGGCAAACTTCCATGTGTTTCGCAAAGATAGGGAATGCCTGGGGTGGTAACAACCTGAGGAAGGCTTCTCCTAGGCTTACCTCGGGACTCCAAGGAATCACAATGGCTAGGCCAGCAAAATTCCCGTCTTTGTACCGCGCACAATAAGCACTCCTGCCTACGATGTCGTGCGGTGAGACAACCGGTGAAAGGGGATCAAATCTCAGGTTGCACAGAATGTCGATGGAAACGGACGAGACGGAAACGAACGAAACAAGACAGTTGCGGCACACGATGGAGAATGGTTCTTGCTCCGCATGAGTAACACCGGAAGAGTCTCTGCAGACGCCAACCTTTACGTTACTTGATGCCGCCGATCGCATCAAATTTCATGTGATTGCCCTACAAGAGACGAAAAACGGAAAGAGCGACACACGACAATTATATGACGGAACATTTGTCGTTCGTAGGCGGAAGTTTTTGTTACGAAATGTCTGAAGCGTTGGCTTTGTCGTGCACTCATCTATTTACCGTCTAGTCACCTCATACGAAATTCTATCACCACGCTTGGTCACTCTTCAGAAATCCTATCACTACGCTTGGTCGCTCTTCACCTTCAGCTGGCGCATCAAAAGAAAGCCAATATCACCAACTGCTGCTCACCAACTTGTGCAGCTGATGAGAGCGAACTGAGTGCGTTCGTTAACCAGTCGAGGAAATAATCTACAGCGAAAAGTTTTCCTATAAATTCATTGTTGGAGACTTCATCTTCAGCGATTATGAACGGCCAACGGAAACGAATACAGGATACGGAAATTTGGAATAGGAGAACGAAGTGGGAATGGAAACCATCTTTTAGGACTCCTGTTCGAGGCATCTTTTCCGTGGGAATTCATTTTTCGAGAAGAGAGACGATCGCCGATGGACATGGGTGTCTCTTAGCGGCACGACTCATACGGGGATCGATCATGTTCTTGCGAACAGAAAGTGGTGCTTCTTTGACAACTCAGTGGTACCTGGATTCTATACTGGATCTTATCACCGCCTTCTCCGTGCGAAGATCCAGCCATAAGCTCGAAAAGGCATCTTCGTCTTTTCAAGGATTACCAGTGAAGAAGAGATGGCGCTCAATGAACTTAACCAAGCTGGAAAAAAGACTGGACTGCTCATAAATAGGACGAAGATCAAGTTCATGAATAACCCATGGTGCAAACGTGAACGAATTGAACCGGGTACTTCTCTTACTATAGACACGACCCCTTACTTGTACTTAGGGTGTTCAATGAACTTAGAGAATTAGAAAGAAGGAGAACAGCATGGGCAGCTTTTGGACCACACAAAGAATCCATAGACCAACTGAAGACTCAGAGATTCACGATTCAATACTTCTTCTAGCGCTCTGTTATGCAGCAAAAACGTGGGCACCCACAGAGTATTTGAATGATGTTTTCTGAAATTTAACGAGCACTCACAACGTATAGCGGGAATTCAAAGCTCAGATCTTGAAAAACTATTTCATCTTCGGAATCTAGAAAAATTTACGTCAAAAACGAAGCATATATGTGTCGGTGACATAACAGGAAGAGTGAATGTCAGGTAGACGAAGAGAACAGTGGAGTGGATACCATGAGAATGCAAGCGTTCTTGGATGATCACCGATGGGTGGGCATATTCGTGGTTAACGTTATCCGTTTGCATTAGAAGACGGGAACAATTTCAGGAATGCGTAATGGAACTCGCGATAGTGACCATTTTAGAAGTAGACTACCACCATGGACGGCGCAAGTGCAAGAGATAGATGAATGGAAATTCTGCTGGGGCCGTAATATCAGTGAAGTTGGGCCATCCAAGTATCCAAGTTTCTTAAAGGGCTTAAAATCTTTTCTATTAGAAGGAAGAAAATCACCATATCGTTGTGATATTAATGGACAATTCTGTTCTAGAAACACAAAAAGCGTCAAGAGGTGGGGCGTATGTGCATTGTGCCTCGAGTTCAATGCATACGTTGTTGTTGCGACTGTTGCATATTGATTTCAATGCAGGTTCTTTGCTATTTTTTGATCTATTTATTCACCTCCCACAAAATTGCCTACCGCCTTCGATTTATTCGATATGAAGGCGAATTAGCATAGTTCCTTGAAACTTAGATTCTACGTAATTGCTAAAGCTTTTCTGCAACTAAAATATAATTTTAACTCATTATTTACTGCCTACTCTTTTTAGCGGGAGGGTATATATTGCAAAATATAACTTTAATGGTGCTGAAATATTTGTAAAACTCCAAAAATAGAACTAGATGAGAGACAGGGGAAACGAAGGACCCGCATGGTGTGGTGGTGAACGTGCTACTCCCTGGAAAGGACAATAGCGCGTTCGTTCTCCACCGCAGACACCTGCGGTCCGGAGTTTTGCAAATATCTCAGCATCATTAAAGTTATAAAACATGATTTTCATCGTCTTTACGCGAAATAGTGGTTATTCCACTAGCACCATTGAAGCAGATCTGGACGAACAAGTCGACCGTGCTGAAGACTTTTCCTTCCATGTGGTCGTCAACTCTTTCTGGTCGGTGCGCATCCGGAAACTCGTTGACCCACAGCCTTGCAGTGATGTAGTTATAATTACGTAAGCAAGTCGTGTAACCACTTCACTCCAACGCAGGATTAACCGGTATTAATACAGATTAGCATTGTTTATGTCTCGATATTCTTGTTGAGCAAACACGAGGCGTTACTTTATTCTTTATTCCGTAAAAGCTGACGTTTCGGCGGATTTCGTCTTTCTCAGAGTCTGGAAAGGTCAAGTTACAGCAATCTATTAGGCCAAACACCCCCATAACCAAACAGAGAAAAGTCTGAATCAAGATTTCAATCACATTGAACACAGGATCGCTTCTTTGCAATTCATCGCTTTCTATGAGTCTTCCACTGGATATGTCACGTAGAGACCAACCGCACAGAAATCACATGGAAGTATAATGTGCCCCTCCCATCAGAATAGCAGTCTTATATACTGCCCTATATCACGCATGATAATGAAGCATTCTTCCCTGCGCTTCATTTACGGATTTCTGGAATTAATCCAGAACGCCTCGAGAGTTTTGCACCCTTGTATTCTCTACTCCTCTGCGAAGATCGGTAAACGGAAAAATCGGTAAACGTAGTTGAAATGCCACCGAGTAATCTAAGACGCCAGCTAGTTCGTAACCGCCTATACGACCGTCTATGTGCAACGCAAAATTGCATAATTTGCCTTAATGGTAGAGACTGTGGTTGCATGAGCTCGGGTACAGTTTACCTGGTCTCCTGTAAGGCGTGCGGAAAGAAATACATTGGCGAAACGAGTAGAGAACTCTGCATCCGCATAAAAGAACACCTATTCGGCAAACGTAAACCAAATACCCCACTTGGCATGCATAGGACTTAGAGACATAACAGGTAGGACTTTGAAGTACGGGTCACGATCCTCGCACAGGAATCGAGAGCACAAGCGCGCAAAACTCTCGAGGCGTTCTGGATTAATTCCAGAAATCCGAAAATGAATCATAGGGAAAAATGCCTCATTATCACGCGTGATATTGGGCGGTATATAAGCATGTTATTCTGACAGGAGGGGCATGTTACGCTTCCATGTGAATTCTGCGCAGTTGGTCTCCACGCGACATACTCAGTGGAAGCCTCATAGAAAGCGGTGAGTGTGCAAAGAAGCTATTCTGTGTTCAATGCGATTGAAATCTTGGTTCAGCATTTTCTCTGTTTGGCTATGGAGGCGTTTGGCCTGATAGATTGCTGTCAACTTGACCTTTCCAGGCTCTGAGGAAGCCGAAATCCGTCTAAACGTCAGCTTTAACGAAATAAAGAATAAAGTAACACCTCGTGTTTGCTCAACAGGAATATCAAAAACTATTTGATCAATGCCGAGGTTAATAGAAAACCGGTCGTGGGATCTATTGCTCATGTCTATTCCTAATCAAACTTGATGACGAATCGACGAACTTTTGTGACGCACATGAGAATGGGGTTTTCTCTGACCTGTTAAATCCATTAAAATGTACTCATCTGAGCAAAGAATGTTCCGCATTCGTTAGTTTTGGTCATAATCGCCCATTGTAATTTATCAGAAGCCATCAATAAGGTCAAAACATCGGATTCATTAGGCTAGGAGCTATGACCATTCGTTGGGCGCTGATCGAGCGAATGATACGTTCTTTCATATCAGCCGCTGCAACTGTCTAGGTCATTGTGGTATTTCTTGATAGCTATCGTTAGTATCGACTCGTTCTATCTTCTGTGGACAATTTTCCCATGTTATTCTTAACGGATTTGCTCGTTCTTCTCCGATTGTTCTACTACTGTTAACCTTGTCGTCTTAAAGTATTGGCATGGTTTTTGTCTCAGCTGCTATCTTATCGTTTTTCCTGTTTGTTTATTTTCGTGTTGTATTTCGCTTCATGTCCAGGACTTCTTTCTTGGTCACCTTCTTGCTTGAAAACTCACCTTGTACTTTCACAGAAATAATGGTCAAGCTTTTTACACTGCGAATCAAAGCTGATGATTTCCTATGAGGCTTTTTTTAGAGCAATGAGTGATGATAATCTGTCAGCAGTACTTTTTGGTGTAAACGACATTCGTCTAGTCCAGCGAGAAATCCCAACACCGGAAGCTAATCAGCTTCTGATAAGGTAAAAGAAATTTTGGAGATTTATGTTAATAAGTCATTTTATCTTTGATGAACAGAATTCTGACTGCTGACTAATGAGGTTTTCCTGATTTTCGGTTCAGTTTTCAATTTTTTTTTCCGTATTTTGTTTGTCCTTTTGCACTTTCCAAGGTCCAAAAGGGCCACATTAATCTTCAATAATTGCTTTCCCACTCAGACGTATAACTTTAAAATTTGTTTAGAACAAGTAAAACGATACTTTTCCATTTGCACATTTAGTAATGCAATTGGTTTGCGAAAATAAGTTTCTAGAATTTTACAAAAGGTGCTAAACGACTGTAGTTATTAGATGGCCTCTTCTAATGAGGCACGAGCTTCAACACTTCTAGTTTTTCGCTTCGTCGTCGTAAGGTCGTCATCTACAGAAGTGGTTTCTTTGTCCTTCAGCTCAGCTGCAGCTGGAGGATTCGTCGTTGTCTTCCGTCCTCATAACACCATGAATGCCGGTCGCACATACCTTCACAGGAATCGTGAGATAGTCGAATATTCATAATTTACCACATGAAATTCCAGGTTGTTGTGAATCAGAAGACTGCCTTGCGATTAGGATTAATCCAGAACTACAACAGTTTCTTTATGGGCAACGATTCTAGCGGTTAGCCAACTAACCTATCCAACAAGCTGTAAATGCTCTGTTGTTGTTTGGAAAGTTCCTTTTCTGAAGAGTGAATTGTGAAGTGGAATCTCGAAACAATTTACAGCGATTATTATGAGTCATTGATCGAACATTGAACATTTGCCTACGTTCTTGTAGGGATCGTAATTTCCTTATATGTAGAGCGAAACTCTTATCAGAAATATGTGGCAGAGAAAGGCACTACCGTCATTCGAAATGGCTCTTATTTTCATCAAGCCTGAAATAAGATCGAGTTCGGAGGGAATTTCTGCTCATTATTACTAAATTTATTTAGGTTAGAGATAGGCCGTTATTAACCACCATGCTAAATTCTGATTTGTGAAGTTACTCAAAATTTCAGGTCGCATGCTTCAATTTCAATCCAAGCTTGTGCCCAGCTCTTCAACTATCGATCTTCATCCTTCTCATTGAATTATTATTTTATTTTCCATTAATTTCGTCATTTCCTCGTAATCCACAGTTTTCTCAAACGTTTTAGATATGGTCCCTATTTTTGAACTGGCTGAACGCTCTAAATTCGTAATTACTTAGATGGTCCACAATCATAGTTGCTGGTTCCAATATTTCCATTCGTTTTGTTCCCTTTCGATTGCCACCCACAGAGTTGGTCAGGTTCGAGCGCGCATTCGACTGGATTATCAGATTTCCCACCTCCTCCTCTCCTCACAGGCATGTTGAATGACGATCGGACGTGATTTTCCATAGAACACAAAGTAGTTGTGTTTATGCATTCTCACCACACTCAGTTTTTCATCTTAGCGGACCGGAACTTCGCTGCCTTGAGATTCGAGTTCTTGTAAGACGAAAGCGTTAGCGAATTTTGCGATTTGTCCACCGACGGCTCGAGGTTAAGGCCAAATTAGCAAGCACCCCTACATAAATCTGACACCAAAAAGGGCGACAAGAGGAAAAACCGACTATCTTCTGCACTTTTGTGCCCCATTCTATTGTAGGAAGAAAAAGCCAACTAGTCCGTTTCCACCTAAGGCTGGATCCACCAAATGCTGAACGTATATCGGTCTCAATGTGCTGCTTCAATGCTCAAATTAAGATTATCATTTGAAGGTTCGTAGATTTTCTGAGTAGTAGGATGGCCCTATAATCATTATGATGCTATGAAATAATGGTGTTCAGGGTGGAATGTTTTCTCCCAATGAAAGAGGTGTGTATTAGTAATCTTTAAAGAGATGTTGCCAGGCATCTTTTCATTAGACAAGTACTTTTATCGAATGTAATAAGATTTTTTGTTTGATAGTGGCTCGTTAACTGATCTTCTTAGTGGATGAGTAAGATTTTCTTGTAGATTCGAAATATTTTTGCATGGCAACTGTTGTTTTATTTACATCAACTCTTCTGGTGAGTTATCCAAACTCCAAGCGTAGATCTGGTTCAGTTGATATCTTCGAGTGGTTATGGCCTGCGGTAGCAGGTCTTCTCTACTCTTCTAGTCTTCGGAACTCATAACTTCATCACGATTCGAGTGTTGCACCGTAGTTCTTTGGCCAGAAGCAACTTTAACATTCTGGATCGTTGCACGGCTTCACGTCGAAACATGAATTCAGTCTGAGTTTTCCTTCTTTTTTTTTATTCGAACAACCTAAATTGAGCTAAATTCTTTGGCCTATAGTATAGAACGAGGAACTTATATTTAAAATGAACATAATGTTTAGTACTTTGAGACAAGAAAGACCTGAAAGTTTGAACACATGAAGTCTGCATTATTTTCCGACTGAGCTAATGCTTAAATAATAATGCATTCATTTAGTGTTCACACGGTTGGAATCTGTGGTTCTGATGTTCATTATTGGACTCATGGATCGATTGGTAGTTTTGTTGTGAAGAAACCGATGGTGAAATATCTCTTTCCTTCCTCTATCATTAGTTGAGATGTAATAGTGAATTGAGTTTTTGCAGGTTCTTGGACATGAAACTTCGGGCACCGTTTTCGGGTTGGGAAGTGGTGTTAAGGGATTCAAAGTTGGTGATCGAATAGCGCTTGAACCAGGTATTCCCTGTAGAGGTTGTGAGCAATGCAAAGTGAGTCAACTATCCATAGACTTTCCTAAAACGCCTGATTTGAATCTTTCACAGGAAAACTGTTCCTGGAACATCAAAGTTAAAGTGGCGAATAGTGTTCTTCTCAATATTGACAAGTTTACATTTGTTCTCATAAACTTAAACTCACCAGTATATTCACCCGTACGAGTGTTGTGGATCGATAAATAATCGATTAATTCTCTCGTTTTACTCAAAAACGAGGCGAAAACTATCTCTAGGCTTTGGTATGCAGGAAGAAAACGGTAACTCGAAAGATTTGCCTGCTGAATATATCGAGATGCTAGCTCAGATTTGAAGTAACTATATTGAGAGCGCGTGTGGCGCAGTGGTTGGAGCCACCACTGTGGTACACACGTGGAATTGATCTCCGCGCCCATAGCCCACCAAGCCTTCCATCCCTCTGGGGTCGGCCAATCGGTACCAGAATTCTCTGGGAGGATAGCAGCACTGGCTTGATACATCGGTAGACCACCGCGAGTCATTGTAAAGGTCGGTTATTTATTCAATCACCTCCCAACGATACCTGATGAAGTCGAATGCACGGTGCATCCCTCAGGGATTGATCAATGCCGAGAGCTTTATCCTTTTATTTTTATATTGAAAAAGAAAACTCTGTACGGAGCAACACTTGACTTTATGATTTACGAACATCTTGACAGCTATTATCTCTTTTTTGAGATCAATGCGAGCATAAAATTTCATTTGTCCGGGATTCATCGAAGTATCACCTATATCACCTGTAGTTCCGTTGATCGTCGAGTGACTCGAGCGGGCGCCAGTAAATCTTCCGTTTTTCCCTGTTGCGTGCAAGAGTAGCCCAGTGGGTTCTGCTCGCTCTAGAGACTCGTCGAGCATCATATTTCTCTTCAAGGCTCTTTGTGAAGAACTCTGACCATCGGGTCGGTGGTCTTCCTGCGGTACGTTTGACATGCCGAGGAATCCAGTCACTAACGGATCTCGTTCATCGGTTGTCATTCACACGAATTATGTGTCCGGCCCACTTTATCTTCGACTGTTTGGCGTACAGAACGGCATCTTTGATTTATTGATCGTTGACGCAGGTAGGAGCTTGGAATCCCATCCCATATTTGTGTGGAACGGGATACTCGTAGCATCGTCCTTTCGACGGCGCGTTCGATAACGCTGAGTGATGTTTTATCCTGCTTATACAGCGACCACGTTTCTGACGCATAAGTTAGGGCAGGAAGTACCGTTGAGTCGAAAAGGTGGGCACAGAGTCCTTCCCAAGTCGCTCGTTTCTTTCTGCTCAGCTCGGGAGCTAAGTCGTTCGCTATATTGATTTCCCGACCTAGACAGACATAACTGGAGCATTCGGAGATACTAGTTCCGTTGAGTGTGAACGGGGAATACGAAATCCATCCGTTCCTCATGAACATCGTTTTTGTGAGATTTAGTAGAGGACCAATCTTTCCACAGGCTTCATAAAAGTCGGCAAACATACGCTCCGCTTGGCTAGTGTTTGGTGTTTTAAGGACGATGTCATCAGCAAAGCGAAGATGATGTAACTTCCGACCATCGATTTTTACTCCCATATTATCCTATTCCAATGTACGCATGACGTTCTGGAGGGTGGCGGTAAATAATTTTGGCGAGATGGTGTAGCCTTGCTTAAGCCTCTTTTGACTTCAATGTTAATATCGTCGTAGAATGGTGATATCTTGGTTGTGAAATCCTTATACAGCTCACGAAGAATTTTTATGTACTGAGTAGGGACGGACTCCTTGACTATCAAGGGCTTCCTTGACTGCTTCTATCTCATTTGAATCAAGGGCTTATGTAAATCGATGAAAGTGAGACAGAGCGGTCTTTTGTACTCTCGCGATACTTCAATGAGCCTTGCTATCGTGTGGATGTGGTCCATCGTACTAAACCTTTTTCGAAACCCTGCTTGCTTACTTGGCTGTCCTTCGTCCAGTGTTCTGTCAATCTTGTTTATGATGACCCGAGTGAAAAGTTTGTAGACGACAGACAGCAAGCAGATTGGGCGATAGTTTCCGATATCGTGTAGGTTACTCTTCTTGAACAACAAAACGGTCTTGCTGGTCTTCCATTGAGTAGGAACATTGCATTCAGACGGGTAACATGTGAAGAGCTGAGCCAGTGTGTTTACGAGCACTGGCGTAAGGTTCTTCAGGTGTTCTTGTCTAATCCTGTCCGGACCTGGTGCTGTTCGATTTTTCACCGACGAAATGGCATGTCGGATTTCGGAAGGGAGAACCAGTGGTGCAACATATCCATCCTCTTGTATTTCATATGACGGTAGGTGGACGTGTATCGATGAGATCTGAGTAGTATTCGTGAATGATTATCTAAATTGCCTTTCTGGACGCAGTAACTGTTCCGTCTGAGGGTCGGAGTGCAATAATCTTCGTCCTGTAATTGGCGAAGCTTCGGTGGGCTTTGCGAATGCTTTTCCGAGCCTCTGTAACTTCGACCATTACTGCTGCTCTTATCTCTTTAAGATCTTCTTTTATCGCATTCTGCCTTGTTTTGCACGTTCGGACGTTAGTTCGCGGTTGCCTGAAGCTCGTGCGCTTCCACACTCAGCTTTCATAGTGCTAACGTGAAGATGTTGAATGAGCCGATCATATTCTTCGTCGATGTTATCGACAACGCCATATTCCGAACGGCCCACTAATGAATTGAATAAGTCCCAGTTTAAGGTGGTTCTGGGACTTCGGTTTTTGAATTCAGAGTCTTTTTCTCCTTTTCCCGAGAAATAGAAGCTTGAACGAAGGAGACGGTCGTCTTATTCCGTGTAGAATTTTGGGATAACAGCGAAATCGGTTAGGCAAAACCTTCTATTTACTATGATGAAGTCTATTTCGTTATGGTACTTTCCATTGGAAGACTCCCACGTCCAGGGTACAGATTGTCACCATAGTTCTTGTGATCGAGGCAGCTTTTATTGGTCCTGAGATTTTAGCAGGCTCTGCGTACTCGTCCTACCTAATGCTGTGAAATTGGGCGCTCTTTCAGGGTCAGGGGAATGAAGCCCGTTTTTTTTTCTACTGTGTTTAGCATTTTGATACCCACGTATAGCTTACTGGGCTCTGAGCGTGGGGCTGGGTATACTCAGGGGTAGCTTGCCAGGCTTTCGCAGAGTGGACGTGGAGCTTATTTATTAGATGCGACTCCTAACCGCCTCTCATATACTTGTCGCTTTATTGCAGGCTTTTAGCCGAATTGACTCGTAGAATACAATCCGCATAAGCGAAAACCCATCCACACATGCATGCGTGAATATACCTAGCAAATACAGAAGCTATGAGCCAAATCGGCGCAACATCGATAGCTAGTCCATCTCGTGGGTCCATCTGCGTCTCAGGGAAGCAAAGGTCGCTTTTGGTCCGCAATTAACCCCCTGACCGCTACCTGCGGACCCTCCTCGTAGCCTCGCGACTTACCGGCTCGAGATCCTTCATATGAGGGAGATCCGTGGATTCATCGTAGTATGGAATAATATTTTTATTTTAGCTGAGAGACGTGCGAAACAAAGGACCCGCATGGTGTGGTGGTGAACGCGTTACTCCCCGGAAAGGATAATAGCGCGTTCGTTCCCCACCATAGACACCTGCGGTCCAGAGTTTTGCAAATATCTCAGCAACGTTGTGGTTGTATTTCGCTTAGTAACCTGCCATGAAAATTATAGAAGGCAGAAAACAAAACGTTAAACATTTTTATTTTATTTTATTTTATTCGTCTTTACGTCTACTGTGCAGATTCCAGCACTTCTCACACTTGATCGTTTTTCTCGCGTTCATCGTCCACAAAAACCTTCCAACTTTTACGTGTGGCTTTGGTTGCTTTTGATTTCATCTTGAATGTCGTAGAATGCTGGTCGAGCAATTCTCCCTGGAGTCCTAAGAAAGCCGGGCTGCAGCGCTTCCAGTTGGATTGCAGAGAGTGATTCTTTCTCAGATAGATCCGCTGCCAATTTCCCGACTTCGGAGGGATGAGAGGCTTCGTTAGCCCGGTGCGGAGTCGAACTAGCACAATGATCGTGATGACGGTCATCACTACCACTGTGCTATCCGCCCCTATGAAGTAATGTTAAGACTAATATAATAAGGACATGGGTAGCATGTGGTAGAGATGTCATTCAATAAACGCAAGACCCTGAAAACCTTGTTTCGATCAACAAGCGTGTGAAACCCAGTAGTTAACGATTTGGATAGAAAAGCTGTAGCGAAATTTTTCTAGGAATGATTCACCGTCTTCTCTATGAACAATCACGAAGGTGGTATTACAGCATCTATTAATACAGAATAGCTATCGTTTCGGCGATCTTGGCTTTTCGTCTTGTCAGGGAATCACAGTTCTTCTTTAAGAATTCTATGAAGAATTGAGAAATCAAATAGAAATTGTATTAAAGAAGGAAGCGTACAACTGAATGTTAAGTCGGATATTTTATGCTGAATAGTTCTGTGCTCTAATAGGAGAGTAAAAAGAGCTACCTAGAAAATTACAAATCAGGGAAGTTACAGATCATTTCAATTTTCTTTTCAACGTTGTCACAGTCGTTATACTGAAGTAACTGGGTTATACTTATAAATAAAGTAATGTAGGCGTCTACAAGACGTGCGAAGAACAAAGATTTCATCGTTAATCACTAACCCTTTGGTGATGGAGCACGCATTGCACTCCATTCGTAGCATAGTAGAGGTGGTTGAATGCGTATTTGCTCAATACATTGGGTTTTTGTGCCCTGTTTTTGTATCAATTCAGCTTCTTATTCTTCTAGAGAAGTCAACTACCAATGTGCTCCTCCCCCACCCTGGAAAGATGGGAGCTTTGTTTGGCTCGACCGTGGGATCGAACAGAAACCCATGTGTAATTGCAGGGCACTTTTAACTCCTGTGATATACACTCTTTCGAAAACGTTTGAATGTTACAGCAATGAGTTCATTGAATCGTGGATTTGATATACTAGTAATTCATTCTTAGTTCTCGATCCCCGCGCCCCAGGGTCACCAAGCCCTTCTTCCCGTAGGGTCAGCAAATTGGTAGCAGAATTGTCTGGGGCAGCACTGGTTCGATACATGTGTGGGCCACCGCGAATCATCATAAAGGCCAGGTATGCACTCAATCACCCCTAACGTTTCTTGGTGAAGTCAAATGCATGACGCATCTCTTGATCAACGCCGAGAGCTTTATCCTTTAACCTTTTTTATTCTTGATTAACTTTTCTAAAAATTGGGAAATATGACAGAAAGTAATAAAAATGGTAATCCATAAAACCATCAAATTTCAGACTGGTAGATATAATCTTTGTCCTGCAATGAGGTTTTTCGCTACACCTCCAGTTCATGGATCCTTGGCAAGATACGTGGTTCTGGACGCGGATTTATGCTACAAGTTGGGATTATAAATCCTATTTTTCGTTTTCCGTTATTTTTACTTTACTTCCTTGAGTTTTGACTTTCAGTTTAACTACAATTAATGTTTTCTATTTATTCTTTCTTACATGCATGTGTGGTTTAGTAATATAAAACATCTAACTTTGTTTCACTCTAGACGAGTTCTTCGTAATGAGCTAGATTAACTCACATTCTAGGCACTGCTTTTCTGGGGAGACATCGTGCTCTGTTTTGTTCATTGAGGTGATTCGAAGGTCTTTTTTCTTTTTTTGAGGCTTCCTGATAATGTTTCATACGAGGAAGGTGCGTTAATGGAACCGTTATCAGTAGCAGTTCATGCTTGTCGAAGAGCTAATCTACAAATGGGACAACGAGTTCTAGTGGAAGGAGCAGGTGTTATCTGCTTCATTTGAAACAATTTCAGTAGTAATTGCTGACAGCGCGCGTAAGTCAATAACATGGCTGAGAGAAAGGTGAAACGAAGGACTCACATGGTGTGGTGGTGAACGCGTTAGCTCCTGGAAAGGATGATAGCGTGTTCAGTTCCCACCACAGACACCTGCGGTTCGGAATTTTGCAAATATCTCTTCATCATTATGGCTATATTTCACTTAATGCCCTGCTACTGAAAAAGAGTAGGCAGTAAATAAAAGGTAACGACGTTGCAATCTCAGTTGTTCTTTTTATAGCATAGGTTAATAGTACTGTCAGCTTGCGCAAAATTAGGTCTTTTTTTTCTAGGTCCCATTGGAATACTGTGCATGATGACTGCTAAGGCTGCAGGAGTATCAGAGGTCGTGATTATAGACCTCGAATCGAGGCGCCTCGAGCTAGCAAGAACACTTGGGGCCGATCACATCATTTGCGTAAAGTGGGGAACATAATATTTCTAATTATTGCCGTTTATTCCAGTCAGAATCTTTTCTAGATGTCTAGTAATTTATTAACTGGTTTAAAATAGACCTCTTATGAAGAAGCTGTAGTTGATGACCTATCAGCAGGAATCGCTTTTTAACGGAAATTGTATTTAAGCACCCGGTTGTCAGTAAGGGCTTGTTCGCCTCTGTTACGACCCGGCAGTCAGTGTGGCTCACTTAGTGACCACGAGCAGCATTACACTGCTCATTTGATTCTTGAGTTTATTTAGAATAGAACTTGAACGTGTGTCATGGTTTATCGGCTAAACGGTCCGATATCCTTCATATCAGGTAGACTAACGTAAATCTGATAATGAGAGAACTGAGATACTTGGACGGTCCATCTTCACGAGTTGTGCGGATCCCAGCACATTTGCCATTCGTTTCCTTCCCTCGCAATCGTCGTCCATGGTGATGGTCTCATACCATGATCTGTAAAATAACTGCAGCAGCAGATATAGCTGATTAACTTTGTTTACGAACACGTCTGCTAAACGTGTAAGCGGCCGTCCTAGAGGACATTTGCATTATCGTGGAGACCACCACAGTTCTTTTCGTCCATCTGTCGTCTGTTCTTCTCATTATGTGACCGGCCCACCTATGTTTCGCTATCGATGTATATTCTCCTGGATCTCGAAGATGTGACAGATTTCGAAGCTCAGAGCTTCGCATTCCGGCTAGGTATTGAGAGTGCCGGTTATATTTCGGAAGGCATCGCTCAAGCGCTCTAGGTAGTGCAGAGCATTCTTGATGTGGTTGAAGCATCAGCCCACGTCTCTGCAGCATAACAGAGCGTTGGTAGGACCGTCGAGTCGAAAAGGTGAGTGCGGATTTTCGACTCCCTTAGGTGGTTGGTAACGTGCGCGTGTGGCGCATAGGTCGGAAGCACCCTGCAATGCACATGGAATCGATTGCCACGCCCCTGGTCCACCAAGCCTTCCATCCCTCTGGGGTCGGCAAATTGGTACCACATCGGTAGACGACCGCGAGTCATTATAAAGGCCAGATATGCATTCAATCACCTCCAGCAATGCTTAGTGAAGTCGAATGCATAACGCATTCCAAAAGGATTGATCAACGCCGAGAGCTTTATCCTTTTACAATTTGGTCGGTGGTTTCTTTGAGAGGCCCGAACGCGGCCCAAGTTGCTCTACTTCTTTTGTCTAGTTTCTTCTTCATGATGTTTTTCATGTTCGTTGATCGCCCAAAGTATACGTACGAGGTGGTCTCTGCAATCAGAGAGCCTTCCAGTTCAATTTTTTCTCCTTCGCACCATGGTTTTTTCATGAATTGGGTCATCTTCCGACTTATGCCTAGTCCGATCTTTTTTCTCGCTTCGTTGAGCTCGTTGTTCATCGTCTATGCTTCGCTGGTACTTTTAGGAGAAATGACATTGTTATCGGTGAAACGAAGGTTTGATAGGAATATTCCATCAATAGGTATGCCTTTGTCATCCTAATAGAGTGACTTCATTATCCACTGCAGTGCAACACTAAACTACTATGGCGATATCGTGTCGCCCTGTCGAACCTCTTTTCCTATAGGTATGGTAAGAAGTCAATGGAAAAGCTGTATTTTCGTAGTGCAGTTCCGATAACAGTCAGACATAGTTCTTATATAGGAGGGATCCACTCCGTAGTTGACCAACGCTGATAGTATTGCATTCGTTTCGACACTGCCAAACACTTTTTCAAAATTCGGTGACCCTGGGCATAGTTTGGCTGTGGTCCATGCAGCAAAATCGTTGTCGAAATCCTGGATCGAAATTGTTCGACTGATTGCGCCTCATCCATCCTCATGTCCTTGATATGCATGAGAGGATAATCTTCGTGAAGCGCTTGTAGAATACAATCAACAAGCATGTTGGACTATAGTTACGAAGATCCCTTCGGTCACCTTTCTTGGGCATATTGAACGTACGCGATGTCCTCTACTGGCCTGGGATTTATTCCTCTTGGAAGTAGGCTGTCACATGGCTTGCGAGAAGTAGATACAAATTTTGGCTTCCATTTGGAAGGAAATTAGTGATATTATAGGTTCCTGGAGCTGTGCCTCTTTTCATGCTTTTCATCGCAACTCAAACCTTCGACGGAGGAATCCCAAGTGTTTTTTCACCAGTGGGGATATTGGGGTCCGGAACGTGGATTGTGGAACGGAAAAGGTTGGTGTAGAACGTCTCCGTTATTAATCCATATTATGGCGAGAAGTTTTGACGATCCCATCTTCGTTCATCAGTGCTGATAGCGGAACAATGTAGTCATATAACTCTCCCGACGGCATTTTGTCAGACTGCTTCTTTTCTCTACTGAGAGAAGTGAGATCCAATAGAAAATCCAGAAAGAGTCTAATCCAGAAAATCTCGAACATTGAGTGACATGCTGCTACCGTTAGATCATCGTGGGCTGTACTTCTAGCAACATCTATCATGCTGTTGTGGAAGTCTTCCTTGTTAATATGAAAGCACAACGAGATAATGTTAACTTTTGACCGACTGCTTAGTATTATTTTTAATGACAGGGTATGATGTGACATGCAACCACAATTATTCTAAAATGTTTGCAAAATTTGGTCTCTAGACCAGATCGAGTCGCGATTACCCTTTCTGAGGCTCACTTGTTAACGGCACCACTGAGGTTCTCGTTCTAACTTCCTGTCAACCAGTTTTTCTAACTAACGCTGCCATTAGCAGTCACCTGGGATTGATCTACGGAGCACAAATCCGCAATGGAGCCAGTCAAGCTGAGTATGTAGTCGAAATAACGGTTGCATAAAGAAATATTTTGAAAGCGTGATAATAGGCGATGATTGAGATTCAATTCGCAGCGAGTCCTAATTAGAATCAATCGAGTGATGTAATCCAACGTAGCACATTTGCTTACTTTTCAGAGAAATGTCTCCATCTGACGTACGTTCAGCTGTTATCGACCATTTAGGGACTGAACCAGATGTGACCATAGAATGCACTGGAGCGCACACTTGCATAGAGACGGCTATACGCGTATGATTTAATCCTTTGTTTAGTTTTTGGAGCAAAAAGATAGTGTCCTATCCAGGATCTTGAAAAAACTCCTTATCAATAGGCTTCAGACTACTCGCTCTGGTGGTGTGATCGTGCTTGTAGGAGTGGGTGCACTTCGGGCAGAGCTACCCATCATAGAATCAGCCCTGCGAGAAGTGGATATCAGAGGTGTTTTTAGATATGCGAATTGGTAAGTGCTGAGTCAAAATGTTGAGGGAGAATATCACATGAGAATATATCGGTATTTATTGATTGCTGTTAAACGTTCTTCGTCAGCTTGTTCCAATGTTTTCTTACCTAAATATATTTTACCATTGGATTAACGAAGAATCAGTTGAAATCTTCTTTTTGTACTCTTCATAAAACAAAGACATCTTAATAGGGCTTTGTTTTGTTTCACAATCTTTGAAGAAAGTGTGCCAAAGAAGCCAGTCTCGTCCGAGCAGAAGCACAGCGCTTTTCTTCCAAGATTGTGGATACTGTGACTGGAAGAAGTAGCGGGATGTCTACTTTATATCGTCGATGCGAATGCAGTGAAGATAATTTTTCAAGCTTCAGTGAATATAAAAATGAGAAAGCGAATGGTTCAGAATGTACAGATGATGTGAAACCGACTAGAGCCAAGCGTCTCCAGCTGCTAAAGATCCGTCGACATTATGACCGGTCGAGTATCGTCAAGATGGAGACAACGTCGAGCTTGTTTCCGCTTTAGTCGATGTTGTATCAGCCGGCCGAGTGGGCTGCGCGTAGATAGTATGGACGATATTTTATTGACAGAAGTTCATATGGACTCTCTTGTCATGTATAACAATCGAAATACTGCGTATTGTTCTGGTCTCACCAGCAGCACATGTTTCGCAGTGGTTGGAGGTGACACAGACGTGGAATCGATCCCCGCGCCCATGGACCAGCAAGTCTTCTATCCCTCCGGGGTCATCAAATTGTCACCAGACCTGCCACCCCGAGTCATTGTAAAGGCCAGATATGTATTCATTGACTTCCAGCGATGTTTAATGAATCGAATACATGGCGCATCCGTCAGGGATTGATCAACGCCGAGAGCTTTATCCTTTATTTTATCTTTTATCACCAGCAGCACAAAGAAGTCTTATAGACATGTGAATTCGATATCGATCACATTAACGACATGCCCACCTATCACAAGTGCATTTCTAAGCAAAGGGCTTATCATTATTGTGATAGTGCATCAGCAGCTTGTATAATAGATCTCGTCCTCGTGGTGTTACTTATAGCAACCATATGATATTATAATGTTACATTAAGTCTATAAGAATAACACGGTTGTATAAGCATCTAGATCCTGCATTCACCGCTTTCATGGTTTGACAAACATTATTATAGGAAATTTCTCAATAAAATCATCGATCGACTAACGTACAGAAATCCGCGTTCATTAAACTCAGCTGCCCTTCCATCGCTTCCTTTTATAGTCGGGACGTGACATCAGACCTAGTTAAACTTAAACCACAATGAGAATTTTACACTTCACCCGCAGTATGATTGAGGAGTGTCTTCTGAAATATGACAGCACACACACCAAGTCGGACGAGACAGCTCAGACTTTCGAATAGTATTGATCACAGTACTTATTCTCTTTACGAGGTTCGATAAAAGTCGATTTTCAAGAAATTGTCACGCGCCATGCCAACTATTGAAATACCAACCGCTGCAGAATAGAGTGCCGCCAAGAAAGCGGATAACATAAGATGATGGCAATAGATCCACATCCATCCGGAATAAAAGGTTACCGCCGAGTGAGATTCTCCACTCCAGGGTTGCTCCATTTTATTAGGTTCGACTAGAATAGACAACGAACATCCCTATAGCGAGGGCGATCATCTGTGGACCATCGACTCGGGTGAACCTACCATCGAAGAAGATAAGTGCGTCGAAATGTTAAAGGATAAAGCTTCCGGCTTTTAGCAATACCTGAGGGATTCGCCATGCATTCGACTTTTTTAGCCATGTCTAAGTAATACGATTGATTATGATTGAATGCGTATCTGGCTTATACAACGACTTGCGGTGACCTACCGATACATCAAATTGGAGCTGCTATTCTCACAGACAAGTCTGGTTCCAATTTACGGGCAACGGAAAGTGGTAAGTTTGGTGGAATTATGGACGCGGGATCGAATCGACAACCATATGTGCATCGCAAAGCACGTCAAAACCGCTGCACTACTATATAACATAAAAACATACCGTTTATTCTCGCCGAGGTTTGATGAAACTCGGTCTGTATGAGACACATCGACAGCAGATTGACGAAAAGAGCAATATAAATGGTTTAAGGAGGACACGTCCATCGTGTAGAGCTAGAAGACGAGGATTTCGTCGATGTTGTTAATAAGCTGTACTGACAACTAGTAGCGATTTATGGATCGACCGAAATAGTGCCTGACATCAGCTGTTGCTAGAAAAAAAGAATGTGCGGATCAGGTAGTGATGTTTGCCGCACTTGAAGCGGAACACTACGTTGGGCAATGATCTCAAAGAGAAGAAACTGATGGAAATGTGCTAGGGGTTGCACTACTCGTAAAGTGCTCTCCATGTAACTATAAACTAAATAAATAGGTAAACTTTATCATATTCTATTCGGCTTCCTAAATAACTAATATTTTCACGTCTTTCAGCCAATCTATGATCCCTCATTTTGAAGATACGATGTTCGATTCCCTCCCAACGGTTTACCGCCTCATAGTGGCTGGGAAGTGTTCCTGGGTGTCGGGTTGCGATGTACAGCGGGGGATTCATCTCTTGGCAGCGTCTCCCAAGCTGAGAAGGAGTCCGACGTTTCCATCAGGAAACCTAGCTAAGAGTAAACCAATGCCAGCATCCAGCACCGTCCTGGTATCAAAGTAGCATGGTGGTAAATCTCCCTCTGATCCACAAGGGCTGCGACTGCCTGCCATGGTGAAGATCTGGAGCAGACTTTGGCCAGGCTAACCTCGGGATTCCAGGGAACCACAATGGCTTAACCACAAATCCCGAAAAATGGAGATTGTGCTGGGGTCCGCACAACCAGTGAGGATGGGCCATTCAAGTATCAAGTATCAAGTAAGATGTTCGAATCAGATCAGAAGATCCCAGTCAAATTAGTTGCGATATTAGAATTTTTTCATGACGTTCTCTCTTCAATTCCATTTGCTTATTATTAAGCAGAAGTTTAATAGAAAGCCACTAAAGCAATCTTACTGTTTACTTTTATTGCAGCTATCCGTCAGCGATTAATCTTGTCTCATCTGGTCGAATTGACCTATCCGGTTTAACCAGAGCCCACTACACGTTGGAGAATACTCAAGAGGCCTTTCATCGGGCCTTGAAAGCTGATGTAGTCAAAGTGTTCATTAGTTGTCAAAAATAAGTGCTATTCATCCGCGATAAAGTGCATTCGATTTGTTTGTGCATGTATTGTATCTCTGCTGGAACATTTCGTGCTTGAGACCAGTCCCGTTCTCGAGTTGTGTATCTCTACTGCCAATCTTTAAAAAACGGTTGGACACCTCTTGCAATTTTTTGTGTATTTTAACTGGTTATGTGATGAAATAGAGGGCAAGGATTTCGGCAGCGAGGCACAATTTCCATTCGAGTTCCGCCTGCACAGTACTTGCGAGGTTTCACCGATATATCAGGTCAGTGCTTCCGTCCTTTCAGACAAACGCACTAGCGATGTGCTTGCCACACAAGAGTGAAGGGATTTCATAAGTAGGACGCGGTGTGTACAGCAATGCGTCTCTAACCATGGGGCTGCACTTGTCCCTTGTGATACTCTCATATATGGCTTTCTGTTTTTTTGAATGACGTTTATATGCAATTAGCATCACGCATTATATGGATTGCTTCTTTGAGCAACGCTACCAGGCCAACCGAAATACTCCACTCCATTTTAAGTCCAGCCATCTGCCATAGTCGTTTTCTTGTGATAGGAACATCCTCAGCTGCTTACCGGTTTGCCTTCTGAAATCTGCGAGATAACCTTTGGTTGTTAGATGGTTAACTAAATTTTTGATGCTCAATGTTTTTGCCGCTTTTGTTGTATATGGGCAATTTATTTGTCTTTGTATTTTCTGCTGCACAACAATTCTCGAATTTTCTCCTCTTGTCGGAATGATCATAGGTCATACGTATAATTTCTCATCATCGTGTCACTTTCACTATCGTCACCGATTTCGCTTGGTAGACGCACCGGATCGAGTCGAGCGCTATCGGAGTGTACATTGAAATAAGGATGCTCGGTCCATCGCCGGCATCAGCGTACATATCGAAATCGATGCCCATGCTCCCCTGAGTGTTAGAAATGTATGACTCTGTATGACGTCATCTGGATAATAACGGAGAATGAACATTCCTTTCTTCCAGCGTTGGTTTAAACCTACGCTTTTTTCTAATTCACCGGTTGTCTTGAAAATGTAAGGTGCTCTACGGCTCCTGGTACTCTATAATAGTTATCGTTGTTTATTAAAAGTCCATTTTCGTTTAAATGCGAGCTCATTAATCAGTTCTTGGTTTGCTGGCAAAAATCGACAAGATAACGCAAGGTTGTTACAAATTTTCATTGTAGGTAGTATCTCAGTAACATCGTATTCTTCTGAGTCACAACGGTTCTAGTTCACAAGAGCTATTTCTGCGGTATGTAGCTCCTCGTAGCTGCATGAATTCGAATAGACTGATGTGGGAAACTGGTATGGATTCGTGGAACTGGAATAGCTTTGAATTTCGGAATATTGATATGTAAAAAACGCAAGCTGTTCCACTTCACCCGATTTGACTCGAGGGCTCACGTATCACTAAGAACAATTACTGTTAACTTTCGACTGGAATCACTGCGGCTCTGAAGGAATGACGCTAAGATGTCAACCACAATAAAAATTACAACAATCGTGTCAATGATCATGAATAAGCTTAGGTATTAGACATTCTTAAATTCAGGTTTACCTTTCCAAAATTTTCCAGAGTTCTCTCCAATCATATACATGTGTTTATGGCGCTGTTGAATATACTTTATTTAACTATTCACCTGTCGTCCCGTTGATCGGCGAGTGACTAAACCAAGAGCTGGGAAAATATCCACTTCTCCCTGTAGCGTGCAAGACTAGTCCAGTGAGTTCTGTTTGCTATAACGATCTCCAACCATCGGGTCAGTCGTTTTCCTGTAGTACCCTTCACATCCCGAAGAATCCAGCCTCTATCGGCTATTGTCCATTGGTTGTCATTCATACGCATTACTTGTCCGGCTCACCTTATCTTCGGTACGGCTTGGCGCATAGAACACCGTCTTTGATTTTTGACCGGTTGACGTAGGTTAGAGCTTCGGGTCCCCTCTTTCAACTATCAGGGACGAAGAAACAATTCATGTTTGGCCTTTTTAATCCCTATTTTTCTCACCTTTTTTGACAAATAAAGTCGAGTAACAGTTAATGATATAACTTTGCTTCATTTTAGTGCTATCGACACTTGCCGATCTCCATGAAGGTCTCATCAGAAACTCGTGAATAGGCGTCGCAGCGAATGGATGCTTTAAGAAAATTGACCGGATCTCGAATCATCAAGCATAGACGACAGAACACTTGCGTCGGAAATGTTCCATATAAAAAAACTTCGTTTATACGTCATACACATTAAAAAATTCGTTGCCAGTCGCTGATTAGCCGAGGGAATGAATGTGAAATAGAATGCAAGTGTAATCTGTCGCATTCGTTCCGCAATGGATATGATACATCGAACTGATAGATGTCGACAGTAGTCAGTCAAGATCTTCATGATAAGCGAAAACTGACCTTGTCTGCGTAGCCATTTAGTACAAGAATTTCCCATTCCGATGCGTGTACATGCCATGATCCATCGAAAGACACAGTCCATCTCTTACTAGTTGCCTTGTGAGAACCAAAAGACAATACTCCTTCAAACTTTTTGTCTCCTAGCTTACTCGTATCTATGTCTACGTTGAGGAGGAGTGTTTAAATGTGACCAAACTGCAAAGGTCTGGAAGAGTATCCACTGCACCCAACGACTGCTTCAACACAGAATCATCCCATCGTCCCTCTTTGATTTTCATAAAGACCAATTAATTCATCCGCGTTGGCAATGGAGATGACCATGTTTTAATTTTATGTTGCTCAGCAAGAAGGACTACACGTGTACTCTTGGAGAGCCTAACACCTGCTACAAGATTCAGTAACGCGGTCCTACTTAATTGACGAGTAGATTGAAGTACTGAAGAGGTTAGCACATAAGGCCTGCATAGCTTTTAGCATAACTGCCGCGTAGGATGGTTCATAATTCTTAGCTGTTACGGGGTGCTGATTTTCCTGAAGTGGCCAGCGGTTTTTTTTAATAACTACAGCACTTGAGAGGTTATGAACATGAAAGACTTGTAAAAGAGACTTCACATTATCGCTTTTTAGGCATAAATATTATATATGCCACTGTTTAATCCAAGGTACCATTAAACTTGGATACTTACATGCCTGGACGGCCTCTCCTCACTGGTTGTGCGGGCCCTAGAATATTCGCCAATTTTCCAAGCTTTGTTGGTTTAGCCACTGCCTTTTCCGGGAGTGCCGACGTCAGCCTGACCTAAGTCTGCCTAAGTCGTCATCACCACAAGCAGTCGCCGCTGTATATCAGAGAGAGATTTGTCACCATCCGACTGGTTTGATACCAGGACGGTGGTGGGACCCGGTATCGGTTTACTCTGGGCCCCTGATGGAAACCACCGGATTCCCTCTCGGCTTAGGAGACCCTACCAGGGTTATGAATCCCACAGCTGCACATCGCAGCTCTATACTCAGGAACACCTCCCAGCCACGATGAGGCTGTAAACCGTTGGGAAGAGGTACTATTATACGTTTTACAAACACATTACTGTTATCATTTCAAAGTGTTCTGCAACTTATTATGTGTCTAACTCTTTATTCACTGCTTATAATTTTTATCCAAGGCAGAGTACTACGTGGGAATACAACCGCAATAATGCTGAAATATTAGAAAAATCCGGGATCCTAGGCCAGCTTCGAACCCGTCATGACGCTAACTGGAGCTAACGTGTGAAACACTGGACCATAAGGGCGCCTCTTTTTCCTTGCTATCGACCTGTTTTTCACGCAAACGGTGCTGTCAGCACTCTGTGACTGTATTCAGCGTCTATTTGAGTGTCCTTTATCGGCCGTACAATAACTGCATAGCTATTAGAGCTGAAATGACATTCATTTGACATTTAAAGTAACGGCCACTGAACTCGATCGATGAAAAAGTTTTTGCACAGTTTTAAGTGCAGAATAAAGTTTTTCTCAGTTTGTGATAGCCATTCATCTATTATAAGAACTATAGTAAAATGGTTCTGCATTCCAAATTAAGCTGTCACAATTAAAATGACCCTTATGCAGCTCACACCGCCCACTACGCGCGCTGGTGATGGTTGCATAGAATGCACACACCGCACTCCAAGTGTTAGGCAACATCAATATTCATGATTAGTTCTTCACTCCGTCAGACAACAGAGAGAGGTAAGTGTATCTTACAGGTCTGATGATCAGTAGAAGGGTATTTAGTTAATACGTCTGGTACTTTCATCTTTTATCGTTGTATTGAAAGTATTCTGGTGGATAATTTCTTTAGCGAAAACAGAAAACTGCCGAAAACATTTCTTTTCCTTCTTTTGGTCAATCGTATCGTAGAAGTCGCATACGGTTTGAATCAAACTTAATTCACCTATTCCACATGTATCACCTGTGATCCAGAGTCATCTCTGATTATGTCTTGGTCAGAAACAAATTTGTTAGGAAAAACTTCAAGCCAAAAATGTGACACTCTTCGTAATGCGGCCTGAGCAACACAGTCATACAACAGAGCAGGATTGAGATTTTGCGGTGCACTATCGATGACTAAGTCTGTGCCCTGTTGTTACCTAACCTTGCATTTATCAGAGCTGTCGGATAGAAATGTTGAACTTCTTCCCAACTTCAATTGCCCTACTTACAATTCTTCTCCTGTTCACCACTGTTCGACACCCAAGAAGGTTCTTATGGATGGATCTGACATTTTCACAAAAGGATAGTGATGAACTTATATCACCAAATCGTTAAAATTTTTATTTAGAAGCAGTTTTTAAAAACTGCAAATACGAAAATCTTTATTAAATTTCAAGACGGCGAGACATTGTGATCTGCACGGTTACGAGACTCCTACTCGGCTTTTGAGAGCTTGGGATCATGAATTGGCAAATAAATGAAGAGTGATTCTTTCACACTAACAAATGTTTGTCTTTGTCTGTGTCTTTATCTTCATGCTTTGTTGTTGTTTGCTCATGACAGTTGCGAATGGTTTATTCACGCTAGTCCGTGTAGTATCCTTCATTGAACTGATCACCTTAGTTCATTGATAGCATGAGATGTTCTAGAGTCAGATTCCCAACTAATTTGATGTCGTGATAGAAAATTTATTTTATTTTTTAATCGTTAATCATTTCGGATTTATCGGGTTCCGTTGTATGCTTGTGTCAACAGACTAACCACAGAAAGCTCCCCGGAGTCGGGAGGAGGTTTTGCGTAGCGGATATCCTGACAGAAATGCCAAAGATGTTCTCAGCTACTGTATAACCCTGTTTGTTGAGCCCAGTTCGACATTTCTCGGCGGGTATTAGGCTGAAGTGACCTTCTTTCAATTCTTTACAAATGGAAAAATTCGTCTTATACGCACTCCATAGCAAAGACTTTTCTTTATGTGTTTACCAACTATTTTTACATTCACCTTGTCTACATTACACGAAGAAAATTGTTCAGGTCCATTGTTGATGATCAACAGGAAATAATTTAACGATCGGTGGAGTGCATTGTGCATCCTGAGATTTCTTCAATTTTTCGCGAGCAAAAAACGTTTTTGAAGGGAACGAATCATCAATGCCAACGATGGGTACGTTTGTTGTTCAACGCGTTAGTGACTTCCTGAATGAATTCTTCGGACACCACATCACCATTCGACCGGTAGCTTTCATTTCGTCTTAGCTACTCCAGCGAGTAGGGTGGCTCGGTTACATTGTGTGGTCCATGGAGATAAATATTCATTTGTTTTAACTTAGAACTCCATAATTTTGACGAACTCTAACCATAACGGCAATGCGATTTTCCCAAATTGAACTTTCTTTTTTTGTATTCTATTTAACTATTTTAATAATATAATCCATCTATGCCCATAATAGCACCTTCATTCAGTTCCTTGTCTTTCATCCGTCATCCACGAACGCCTTCGCATTTGCTTATGATTCGGCCATTATCTGAGGAGCTTGTCTTTGTCAGGAAATTTATTAGATGTTAGATGAATATGTTTTCCATGGAATTCTGGGATGGCTTTGCTAAAGCGTCACCATTTCTTCTTCGCAGGCAGTTCCCGGCCTGTATGGATATCGGGAAGCTTTCTTCATGCATATCTGGTGAAAATATTCCGAGCTTTTGAGTATGATAGGCTTGCTTGTGGCATAGCCAGTGGTCGTGTGCGGATTGCAATACAGATCTAATCATTGCGCTTTTCGTGTCTCTATTAGAGGGTGAACTTAAGTGTTTGTTGTCTTCCCTCGTCGTGACTTGTTGAGTGCTGACGGAACTGGGTATTCGGCGTATAGACGTTCCGCTGACCTCGAAATTTGCTGTCATTTGGCTTATTTACATGTTAAGTGTCGATGGAACATGGTTATCCCTGAAATCTCAAAGTAGGCATTCTATGTTCTTCCTATTTCTTCACTACAAGCTGCAGTCAACATTTGTGCTTCAGGGCGGAGTTCACTGCATTGCTGCTAAGAATTGCCTAGGACGCTGGTGAATCCTGTGATGCTACAGATCGAGATATGGAACAGACCTATTCTTATTTGTATGCCTATCAATACACCAGCACGTGTGAGCCATGCGTGGCTCGTATTTTCACCAATGTGTTATATGGCGTTTCGCTGTACTATGATTATCTTTTGCAACAGTGCAAACTTGTTTTTATCGGTCAGCCTATTCCATTGTTGCAGTGTAATGAGCCTCTAATGTCTCCTACTATGCTCACATATTTCGGTAATATTCTCAGTTTTGTAGTTAAGAAAACTACGTAGACTTTCTGCGTTTTCTACGGAATACACGTACCACTTTTTAGTTAAAAGTAAGATTCAGCGAGCATATAAATGTCGAAAGCTGATTTTTCGACAATTGGCAGCTTGATGACTAGGGTATCCACAAAGCTCTTCGTGTTTTCGCTTGGGTTCGGTTGCTATTTGAGTTTTTTTGATCTTCTCTATGAATGTCCTTGAAGAATGTTTTAGTAGATTCTCCATAGAATTCCGAGATAGCTCCACTAGAGCGTTTCCAGCTTTTCATCATCACATTCGGCGACCAGTGCAGATAGGAGAGACCTTTTCCTAGACAAGTTTAATACGAATTTCCCAAACCCAGAGTATTACATAGGTCGCTTGACTTGATACAACATCGAACTGGAAACCTTGTTTATATTGTGGGACATCTCTAACCACTGCTCTAAGCAGTTTTCGTGAAAAAAACAACAGTATACACTTCACAGTGTTATGCCAGGGTTTTTTGCATGTTTCAAATTAATTAAGGCTTTTCTGCCGCTCAAGGAATGCCAGTAGAACAGGATATCCTCGGAAAATGGTCTTTCCTCTCTTCAGAAAACTTCGAAGCCTACTTGAAGGAAGTGAGTGCTCGGCTAAGATCTGTTAACATTTCATTATTTTTCGAGCATTTATCTCATGTCACCAATTTCAAAGAAAACACAACAAGCCTATTGGCTGTTTATTACGTTTTTCCTTTTTGATTTTCCTTTCCTTCTTCAATTACGCCACCACAGTTTCTACATAAAGGTGGAGACACTTTATTAATAAAAAAAATTTGTGATAGTCTTTGTGACTTTGTGAGGTTTCCATCAGGAAGCCTAGCTAAGAGTAAACCAATACGAGGATTCACAGGCGTCTTGGTATTAAACTAGTTGCATAGTGGCAAATCTCTCTCTAATCCAAAAGGGCGGCGAGTACCTGTAGTGGTGACGAGCTGGGCAGACTTTGGCCAGGCTGACTTCGTAACTTCAGGGAAACACAGTCGCTAAACAACAGAAATCAGAAAAATGGAGATTGCGCTGTGGACCACACAACCAGTGACGACATGCTTTCCAAGTATTCAAGTATACACAGTGATAGACATGTAGTTAGAACAGTTAGTTGCTAGATCGGTTTACTGCTCGTCTTGTGTGAATATGCCACGTGGAACTTTTAGTGTGGTGTCACAGAATACAGTGTTATACTTGTGAACTTGTGTTAACATCGCTTATATAAGATAACAGCTGTACAATATTAACGGCGTGACGATACACAGGAGGGCAAAGGATGCAAGTGTCAGTACCAAGAAGGAGCGAGAACTAGTAGGGAGCGCTGTGAAGAACTGTTGAAGGAACTGTGAAAAGAAACCAACTAAGAGCTGACGAAGCAGCCTATATTCGTCCTAGGATAGCTGGAGTTTAGCTTGAGTAATTGAAGATATCGTTTGCAGAGATAGTTTGAAAAGATGGTTTAAAGAAATGTTTCGAGGAGCACTGGCAAAACTTTTTCTTAGTCCGATTCAAAGAACATTACAGTAGCCGCGAATGCCTTTATCAAAAAAAGTGGCATGTGGTAAGCTGTGGGAAAGTCTTCTCGGAGGACTTTATCGTTCGGAGATGACTAAGAATTGTGAGTCAAGAGTGTGTTCGATAAAGAACAGGCAATGGAGAAATGGTGTAAAGGTAGAGAATATTCGGTAACTATTGACAATGTCCTCCATGTGTTTTTGGTCGCAATGCATTTTCTTTGCAGCTGTTTCCTCCATAGAATAATTTTTTCGGAATTTAGTTTTCTGTTGGATCCCACGGCGACAACCCTGCTTACTATGCACAGAACAAATAGATAATAGCTAGTGAGTACGGTGTGCCTATGCCGGTGGTATGCCCATATCGGTAGCTGTGCAAACACACGTGATCCTCGCGAAAATCTCCTGCTTATTGTACAGTTATATTAGCACACAAGATTGCAGCTAACGATGAGGATACTAAGAGGTTTTTACTGCAAAGCTGGGAATGGTATTTTGGACCATGTGCATTGGATTGAATTCGTGTCGTGTGTGGCAAAGCATTCGGAGTCCTATCGTATTAGAACAGTCGACACTGAAATGTCACCACGAACACGTTGCTCTTGTACTTGTACTTGTACTGTACTTATTTCTAAGATGTTGGATCTCATTCTAGGCCGGTGTGGGAATGCTGACACGGAAGGTAGCGTCGACGTTAAAACCCACTTTGGAATTCGCTCGCGAAGGTGATCAGCTCAGGATGACATCGACATCCACGTTCAAGACCTATGTGTCGAAGTTCAAGATCGGTGAGACGTTCGACGAGAAAACCATGGACGGACGTGATGTTAGTGATCGATATCAGTTTGAAGAATAAGAAAAAGAGTTGGGGTAAAATCAATGTTTTCAAACCCACTTTCATTTAACTTCGGCAAAAGTACTTCTCCTTTTTTGCTTATTAAGTGAACAACAAAGTCTCTGAAGAAGCTGAAGACGTTGAAAAACGTTAGCCGAATAATTTCTTTTACCAGCTTCGTGTTTGCTTAACAATCGAAGAAGGGAGTGGAATTAGTCCAAATATCCCTTTCATTAAAGGTTTATCAGTAAGTGTTCAGTGAAATAAATGCATGAATGAAGTTAGAAACAAAATTAATTTGTTTTAACTGGCAAGGGTTCACCCATCGTGACTCTCTCGTTTACGCTCTCTGTAACACTCAGGCTCACTGTCTCTCTCTCCCTCCCTCGCAACCTCCCATGCGCTCTCCCCCTCCCTCTCTCATCGATTTCAGATTTTTTTTATCTTTTTCAAAAATCAGTAATTCTCGGGCAATCGAACTTTTATATCACTTAATTAAATTGCGTACTTTATATAGGTGCTACACATGCCTATAGATTTATATCCTTGTCATCTTCTTCTTCTATTTTCTTCCCTTGTTGTCATATCACACATAACAATCCTAATTTAACCACAACGACACTGAGATATTCGCGAAACTTGGACCCCGGGCAAGATCGAAGCTTGACTACCTTTTCTGGAGGCTCGCGTATTACACACTGCACCACAGAGGCGCTTGTTTTGCGTTTCTCTCAGCTAGTTCTCTACCAAACGCTGCCATCAGCAATCACCCGTCAGCGAGATTGATCTAAGGAGCGCAAATCGGCATTGGACCCAATTAAGCTATGGCTGAAGTAGAAATGGCAATGTTAGCCTTTTATTTGCTGCCTGCTATAAAAAATTGTAGTAGGCAGCAAATAAAGGGTTAACGTTGTGATTTTGGCCAAATCCTAATTTGCTTACTCCAGTTTGCATCCTTATGGATTTTTTCGTCATCTATGTTGAGATGTGGTCCACAGTTATCATTAGTACTATTATTTAAAAAGTATGTTGTCAATATTTTGATTACAATACTAGGTTGACACTATATGTCTACGTATAGCACTAGTGGCTAGCGTTAAATGATTGCAAGTTGTCATTGTTTTATCAACGATGATGACGTCATCGAAATGACGAGGTTCGTGGAAGAAGGGTTTCAAAGCACTGAATATAGTAAGTAGGATTATGAGAACTTTCGTATGCTTCTTGGCTAATCACTAATTTTTCTAGATTTTTCCAGGTTAACCAGTTGTACAAAATCGAGAATGATCGCCTTGTCCTACACGAGAAAAGTAAGGACGGTGGTGCCGATTCGCGTATTGAACGTTACATCCAAGACGGACAGCTTCACATTGTATGTGGTCGTTTTTCATAGTTTTGACATTTTAACAATAGCAATAACAACCGTTAGTGTGCAGCAATAGTGCTGTGTAGTGTAGTGGTTAGAGGCACCTTGTAGTACTTGCGTGATCTTTGGTTTAATCCAGCGTCGTGGACTAGGCAAGCTTCCTATATCTCCAGTGACAAATGGATTGGTACTAGAGTAGTCTAAGAGGATGAAAACGCTCGCATAATAGATCGGTAGGCCCTCAAAAGTGATTGTGCGGGTCAAATGTCCATTCAGTAACACCTTTGCGATGCTAGGTATGGAGTCGAATACAAAGCGTATTGCTAAGGGATTAATCGACGCCGAATCTTTCATCTTTTATCCTGTGCAACATTACGGGACTCTATGTGTATAAAAGTGCTACGTTAAGTAATTTTAGTAAAGTGGAGGATTTTTAAAGAAGGAAGACAGGAAGCGCATTGCACTGCTCTTTCGCCAGTATTGATTGCCATTCCGCGCTTTTTTGTTTGTTTTAAGTTGTTTTATTTTCATTAGGTGCCAACTTGCAGGATTGTGAATGCAACGGTGTGAAGAGCAAAAGAGTTTATGTGCGAATGAAGGAATGAAGAATGATTGTGGAACGATAGGAAATGTTTTCATTTTCCCTTTAGTAAGAAATTGTTTAATAAAGAAATTTTTACCATTGCTAGAACTACCCACCTCTCTGAATACCTGGATTTCCCACAATTACCTATCACAGAGAGTGCTCAGGGTGTCGATAGAATTCCAACTTAACTAATTATTAACTTGTTGGCCAAGGTTTTCTCTTCTTGGGGAGTCGACGGTCGTAACAGATCTCGTTCAAATAATCAGTACTTGCCAACAGCGTGCCCGTCGACAGTGATGCTTAAAACGGCGTATGTACATCGACTCCATCTTCGATACTGTTTGACAATGGCCGGTATTACGGCCATGATGAAATGAATGGAGTTGAATGAATTGTACAACCTTACGTGGTGGTTGATCAACGCGGAGCACATTCTTTTTTTATTAATAGAACGGCTGGATTTCTCTATATTTACAGATATTTCAAGAGATTAACTAAGATGTATGGGATTTCTTAGTGACCAACAAAAGCACTGCACGAGGAGTTTCGATACTGCGACCAGATGTCCATCACATAGATATTATGCCAATGGTGTCAGTAAAACGGGTTATTAGGAGTGAGGAAGTGACGAGGGATGGAGGCGGAGCTAGGCGATGGGTTAAAGACAATCTGTCTACCCAATATTTCATACTCTCGGGCACTGACCGGCATGTGGTCATCTATTTAACCGTTTTCCTCCTCTTTTTTGTAGTGAAGTCAAATGGTTACTGTAGATTTGATTGGAGGCTGCATGCGCTAAGAGAAAATGTCATCAGTCCTTTTTTCTTCAGCGAATACTTTGTTTATCTTTCGTATTGCTCTTATCTGATTTTGTTCTCGATCTAAACACAGTGTTTCTGTCGGCTATACGTACGATAATGGGCAATACGGTTGTTGGTTTTCTAAAATACACTTGTTTGAAACTAAAGTCAACTACAGTGTTGCTGAGATATTTGCAAAGCTCCGGTCCACAGGTGTCTGAGTGTCTGCGGTAGGGAACGAACGGGGTATTACCCTTTACTGGGGCTAACGCGTTCACCACCACATCATGCGGGTCCTTCGTTTCGCCTGTCTCTCAACTAGTTCTATCGATCAACTAGCGTCAACTTATGAAATAAAAGTGACTGTGAAGGAACTGCCACGACCGACTTTCTATTAACCTCGGCATTGATCAAGTGATTTTGTTCGTATTTTTTTGAGCAAACGCGAGGTGTTATTGTTCTTTGTTCACGATTAAGCTGACGTTTCGGCGAATTTCGCCTTCTTCAGAGCCGCTTTCTATGAGGTCTCCACTAAGTATGTCACGTAGAGACCAACCGCACAGAAATCACGTCATCAAAATCACGACGTGATTTCTGTGCGGTTGGTCTCTACGTGACATACTTAGTGGAGACCTCATAGAAAGCGGCTCTGAAGAAGGCGAAATTCGCCGAAACGTCAGCTTAATCGTGAACAAAGAACAATAGCACCTCGCGTTTGCTCAAAAAAATACGAACAAAATGACTGTGAAGGTTATAACGATCTATGGCATGTATACTACCTTGCATGTAAGTATTTTTGTGGTGGTGCACTTTAACGTAAGAAGGCACCAGGTGCTAGTAGTACACCATTTCTTGTTCACTGCAGCTCTCTCTGTTATATGCTTACCATTTCGGATCAGTGAACAGTTGGCAGCCTTATGTGGGTAGATCTTAACGTGGTAACTTGTTAGTTTGTTGTAAGTGACAAATTTACACCTAGGCCACATTTATGCGGTGTGCTATCGAATCTGTAAGTGGAATAGGAATGTAGTGGCCAAAGAATTAGTGAAATTGATACCACTGATAAGATTCCCTTTCATAGTGTGGCAGATATCTCTTGGATCATAGCACAAAAAGTGTAACGATGACGTCAGTGGATAGCAAAGTAGAATCTATTAGTAGTCATCTATTTTAAGAAATCAGTTGGACTCCTAGTTGTCCCGGTTTTTTTCTCTGGTGTTCCATGATAGTCGTGTCAAGGTCATCGTATGCCAACTGCCGACCCTGATTTGGCCCATAGGTCGTGATGAGGTGTGCGGTATAATGGGCTGGGTTTCTTCCAAGATAGCGGCCGTTCGTGAAATAGGTCTTCTCCTGTCTGACCTCTCATGGAGTACTCTAGGGAGAATCACCTCAACCAACATTTAAAGACATTCATGATGGAAAAAAGTAGCAGCAGAGTTCATATGCAAATTCGGAGAACATCGTGGATGTTGGATTCGAGAGAACAAACCGAATGAGGGAAGTTCTGGAATTAGCAACAGTATGTGAAGTTACCTACCTGATACTTGAATGGCCCATCCTCACTGGTTGTGGGGGGCCCAGTATAATCTCTACTTTTTTCGGAGATTTGCTGGTTAGGCCATTGCCGTTCCCTGGAATCCCGAGATTAGCCAGGCGAAAGTCTGCCCCGGGTCTTCATTACCACAGGCAGTTGCAGCCCTTGTGGATCAGAGGAAAATTTGCCACCATGCGACTAATTTGAAACCAGGACGGTGGTGGATCCTGGTATTGGTTTACTCTTAGCTGGGCTTCCTGATGGAAATGTCGGACCTCTTTTCAGCTTGGGAGATCCTGCCAGGAGGATGAATCCCACCGTTGTACATCGCAACCCGATACCCAGGAACACCTCCTGGCCGCGAAAAGGCGGTAAACCGTTGGGAAAGTATGTAAAGTTAAGTCATGTAAATGAGATAGGTGAAATATTTGTAGAGTTCAGCAACCTAAACTGTTGAATTTCGCCACTTATACGGTCTCGTTAGAGGATGAATTCCTTGTTATGTGTTTGATTAGTTCGAGTCTCGAAAACATTACCTTTCTACGATGACGGAGTGAGCCGTAGAAAGAGCAGAAAGGGCATATATGTATCACAACTACTTCCGAAAAAGTAGATCGAAGGCGACATCACATTTTTTCTGATAGACTTGCCATGAACTGGAGTTCCCTTAGAAGTTCAAAACAAAGCACTCAGAAAAAATTATCCTGCGAACTCTATTAACCTTTTAACACT